TTTTAATGAGCCACTTAGCAGGAACCTCTTTTCCTCCACTTCAAAGCCAGAGGCCATGTGAACTTGGAGGCCAAGTGTTTAACCTGACTCAAGTGATGTGCTGTATTCACCTCGCCCAATATTTAATGTAGGGCTGAGCTCTGTGTGCCGAGCTGTGTGTGTGTGTGGTAATGGGAATGTGCACAAGTGAAATCGAAGGTGTGGTGTCAGATCTTTGACTCATCCTTAGGGAAGGAGGGAGGAATTCATCAGCCTTACAACAGCCTTGCCCATGAAGCTGTTATTCCCACTTATATATGAGGACACTCTCTCGGGCAAGCTCTCTCAGGCTCTGACTTAGCTCGGGGTGATTGTAGGGATACGCAGAGCACTGTGGAGGCTGGGAAACCAGCCGCTGATTCATCCCCCTGGATACCAGAGCTTCGTGGGTCATACAATACATACAAACAAGCCTCATGAAAAACCGGAATGTGCCTCCTCATCACAGCAGCTCTGCCCCGGTGACCAGGCCACCCAGGCAGAGTCTGAAACCCTCAGAGCAGAGAGAGCCTGACAGGGTAGCCAGCCCTCCAGTTGGGGCTCTTGTCCTGGATCCATTGGTCGTAGCCAGGTGGCACCTGGATCCTGTTCCAGGTGTGAACCATAGCAACACAAGATTGCGAGAACTGCCTGGGAACATTTCCCCCAGGGGGATGTTGGCTCTGGCCTATCTAGTACTTTCAGGGAGATTAAGGCAGCCTGGCATCATCAGAAGAATACAGATTTTAGAATCAGACAGACCTACCTGGGTGTGGACCCTGGTTCTGCCACTTGAATCCATTTCGTCGACAGGAAGTCGTGGGTACCGCCCATCACGTGGAGGTGTTGTGCAGGTCAAGTAACAATGTGCCTAGGCTGGGGTCTGGTGCAGAGGATCTGTACTTCATGAATGATAGAATTTGGTGTTTTATTTTTTAAAAACTGGAAAGATAGGGACGTGGGGAAAAAAGTTTTTTGATTTTTATCACCCTGTCACTCAAGCTCTTACCATTCATAGTGCGTCACTGTCGACTCTTGTAGACCCATCTGTTAATTTAAGGCTTTATATGCCATGGAGCAGTTTCCTTCCATGGTACTTTTTAAATGAACAATCTGTTTTTACATGGCTGGAGTTAATATAATTTTGTATTCTGATTTCGAAATTCTGTATGTAATTTTGGTGGATATGCTGTAGTTCACATAAAACTTATTTTTGGTTTTTTTGTTTTTTTTTTTAAAGATTTTATTTATTTATTCTTCAAAGACAGAGAGAGAGAGAGAAAGAGAAGCAGAGGGAGAAGCAGGCTCCCAAGAAGTAGGGAGCCCAATGCGGGACTCGATCCCAGGACCCTGGGATCATGACCTGAGCCGAAGGCAGACGCTTAACCATCTGAGCCACCCAGGCGCCCCATAAAACTTATTTTTGAACATCTAACAAAAGAGCAGTGGTTGAACTAGTGGTAATGTATTCAGGTAGTAAAATAGAAGTATATTTGTTAACATAGAAGTGTGCTCATGATTCTATGTAAAATGAGACGGTTTTACCTAAAAACCAAGTGCCTCCCAGATCTGTCTGGATGTTCACCGCCTCAGCCTCAGCAAGCTTTCAAATTTTAATGGGCCTCAGAATCACCAAGGGAGCCTGTTAAATGCAGGTTTTGAGCTTTACCCCTACAGTTTGATTCAGCAGATGGGGCTCGGGGTGGCATTTTTACGAGGATCCAGGTGATTCTGATGTGGGCATGACACTTCTCCCATTTCTACCTGTTGAAGCTATACTTAGTTTTCCGCACTTCGCCATCCTTTCAGGCTTTCTCCTGAATTCCTAAAGTATTTCGTGGCACTTTTTGCCTGCTTTCTTGTCTTTGGATCTTGTGAATCCTTCTAAATTTGTAAAGTTTTCCTGATCTTCTGAACAAACCCAGTCGGGCACCTGTGTCATATCCCTGGGATTGTGTCAAGCTCCAAGTTCCTGAATATAATATAGATACCAAAATATTTGGAATCCAGGTTTCTTTGATTTGTAGTGAAGAGAAAGAGGCCAAGCGTTCCAGAACTCTTCAGCATACCTGCTATGAGAAAGGGGCAATAAAGGTAGCCTTTCCAACCTTGATAGGAAAAAAAAAAAAAATCTTGTTTAAATTACCCTGACCTTGGCAGTCATACTGTGAAAAGTAGTTTGTCCTTTGTGCATTTACTTTGGTCTAAGCCAGAGATGGCCAGTGTTTGGAAAGGGGGGTTAAAACCCTTCAAGAAGCTTGTCATTCCAAAAGCATTGCGTAAATATCTTCTAGGATTATTGGTTGGTTTTCATTCTCAAACTTTGTGCCATTGAGGTTATTCGAGGTAAATTTCTCATCTTGCAGTTCATTTAGGGGCCATTCATGCTAAAATTGAGATTGAGCTACCCATAAAGTACTTCTTCACTCAGGTTTTATTGATCTCCCTCCTTCCTTAAGCCAATTAAGATTGGATCTTTGGATCTCCATTGTCAAGTCAGGTTTTGTTGTCTTATGTCCTATCCTTATGTAACAGGCCGGCTGTTGCAAATTGGTTGTTACACTGTTAAAACAATTGCTAAATATTATGTTCCGATGATTTTGAATCCCCCCCCCCCTTGCCTGTGAGGGGACTAAATCATAATCTGTATAAATCTGTGATCATTCTAGCTTTAAAAGCATTAATAGCTACCAAAAAAGCATCCTGCAGAAGGAAACCTAAAGAGCCAGGTTTATTAGCTCGCTCAGAAAAAGTTCTTCCTTGGGGCGCCTGGGTGGCTCGGTTGGTTAAGCGTCTCTTGATCTCTGCTCAGGTCATGGTCTCAGGGTCGTGAGTTCAAGCCCCTTGTTTTTTGTTGTTGTTGTTGTTTTAAGTAGGCTCCACACCCAGCCTTAAAGAAAAGAAAAAAAAACTTCCTTGCTCACATGAAAATGTTAACTTTGTAGAATTGAAGTTCCAGATGACCTGAGAAATCATACAGGGGAATAGAAGGTTCTGGTTAATGAAATGGTTCTGATGGGAAATCACTGGATGGATTATACTTGTCCACATGGCAAACTTAGAATCATTCTTCAAAACCCTGTTCAGAATTCATCTATAAACCCCTAGATCTGTAAAGCTTTTCGTGATCCCCCTTCTTGGAAAGAAGTAACCATTTCTTTTATTCTACAAGCACAACAGGACCTTATATACACTTCTATGGCCGTATATGTCACTGTCTAGTGTAACTATGTTTGCACATTGCTATTCTCCACTAGATCAGAAACTCACTGGGTGGGGCACCTGGGTGGCTCAGTTGTGTTAAGCGTCTGCCTTCAGCTCAGGTCATAGCCCCAGGGTCCTGGGATCAAGCCCCACATCCGGCTCCCTGCTCGGCGGGAAGCCTGCTTCTCCCTCACCCGCTGCCCCCTGCTTGTGTTTCCTCTCGCTACGTCTCTCTCTGTCAAATAAGTAAAATCTTTACACCCAGTGAGTTGTGTTTTTTTTTTTAAGAGAGTGTAACTTACCTGTGCAGTCTGATCACATGTCTAAATGGCTGGATATAGTCGTACTAATTGAATGAATATATGAATGAGTGAGGATTCTGTTCTAGTCAGTGGCATCAGTCAGATAAACGGCATTTTGTGGGTATTTTCTGAGACATCCTGCAGTTAACAAAATTTAAAGCATCACCCTGTCATGAAAAATGTACCTAAAATATTGTTACAATAAATTAAGAATGAATGGTGAAAAAGACAGGCTGAGTATCTGTTTCTTCCAGGATTCCTCATACCAACTGAGTGCTCAGCCTGTGGGACCCCTGATTTAAGGGACTGGATCTGAAATTCCACAGAAACCTGTTCCACATTAGCCCATCAGCTGCTGTTAAATTCCTTCCCTGGGCTCTTGAATTCCACAGAAGGCTCAGATATCACAGATATTTGAGCATTATACGTATGTGATAGATTGTGAACATATTCCTCAATTTCTAATTTTAAAGTCTTTGTATTAAGAGAGGCTGATGACTGAAAGAGATGATTTTAGAACTGAAAGCGACCTCTTCATTTTACTGATTAGGAAACCAAGCCTCCTGAGAGATGGGCAGTTTGCTTTAGTGGAAGGAGCCCTAGAATCGAAGTCAAATAGATCACGTCTTGGCTCTGGGGCTCAAATCACAGCCTCTTACTGGCTGTGTGATCATAAGCAACTTAAGTGTTTGGAAGATCAGTTTTCTCATTTGTAAAGTTTGGTTAAAAATCCATCTCGGTGGGTCATGACAAGGGATTACCGAGATAAGCTGTACCGGAATACCAACCGTAATGTCTACACAGAGCAAATCCTCAGCGATTTTTAGTCTCTGCCCTTCCTCGCCCGAATCATGCTCCTCACGGCAGGAGTAGGACTTAGAAGTACTCCTTGAGGCGTCGTTAGGATGGGTTGCGGTTGCCAGTTTACTTGACAGGACTCACGCACATCAAGGACACTCACTGCAAAGGAGCCGTTTCGTGGGTGTTTGATAAAAGAGTCAGGATTTGGTACTTGAAAAACAATCTCCCTTCTGTGTTCCGTGTTTTATTCCTTGTTGCTTTTTTCCCTTTCTTTGAACTGAGAATTACGGCACCCTCCCAGTCAACCATCAACTATAATTTAAGTTTGTATAATTGTGTGAATTAGCAAGGTCATTTCTATAAAGCCTTAGGAACTCAGAGTAAAGTATATAAACGTTTTGGGAAAATCCGACCCATGTAGCCTAATCAGCCTTCAATTTTTAAAAATCACATTCTGAAATAATAAGTGAAATATCTGTGCTAAATTGAAGGGGTTGGGGCTGGAAGTGAACTAAGCATTTTGAGCATGAGGTGTTAGTCTTACTTAGGCGCTTCGGTCGTCCTGAGACGCGAGTCAGGTGGGAGAAGCAGCAGTTTGCTTTCTCTGCTCATTCCCTGGAGTTCATCTGTCATTTGCAAACACAACTTATTTTTCTCTCTCTCTTCCCTGTAAAGGCAGAAACCTGTGGGTTCTTGTCGTGGGGCGCTTCCCAAAGGAGCACAGAATTGGGATTCCAGAGTTCAAATACGTGGCCAACATGCACGGAGACGAGGTATGTATGCGCCTTGAGTATCGGAAAGGTCACCAGACACGCTTCCCCTCGGGTCTCGAGCTCCGTGTAAATGCTAAGGAAGCAGCATAAATCGTACCAAAAAATCTGGAAAGGTCTTGCCGCGAGGCCTTCTGGGAGAATTGAAGGAACCAGGGTCCAACAGCCACCAGAGCCAGTGCCCCGGGAGGCTCCCTGGAGCTCGTTTTGTGCCGGGACTGGAAGAACAGCAGCGCCCAAGCCCTCACGGCCGGCCGAGGCCCTGAAGCCCGCCCTGGGCTGGTGTTTCCCACCTCCTGGGGGACATCCAGGTGGCCCAGCTACGGAGCTGTAGTATATTTGAATTCAAACAATCAGAAGATCCCGGAGAGCTCTCCAAACTCCTGATATCTGACTTTTTGAAAGCTTTTGTTACCTTGTCTTAATCTTCTACTCAGCGTTTTCAGTATTGAAGGTGATGGGCAATCAAGCTTACAGTTCTCTCACTCAGCAAATGCTCTTAAGTTCTGTAATGTCTTGCCTCTTTTCCAACGTATCAGAGAGAAACTCTCCTTTTGTTTTGTTTGATGTCATGATATTTATTTTGTTTTGTCCGTTACCCTCTTACCCCCCTCCCCCACTTGGCAGTCATTCCCCTCAGGCCTTTGAGGGCACTCCTGTCCGTCTCTTACCGCGCTTCCTCAGAGGATTTGGGGAATGGGACAGTTGCGGTATTTTCTGTTCCCGGGACCCCATGCGCCTGGGCAGTGAAGTGGAAGGGAAAGACCGTTCCCAGTCGTCACAGTCAGGAAAATTTACATGGCAATGTGTGTAGCGCCCTCTAAAACATGCTTACCTTTAAGGAGCGTCGAAGTAAAGGCATAGTCCAGTGGGGTGCAACCCACTGCCTCGTGAAGGCACATGGGAGTTGGCAGCAGTGTGGGTGGCGGGCTCTCTTCCGACGCTGGGCTTCCTGTCCTGGCTTAGCCCTCCCCAAGCCCAGGCTCCGCAGGAGCAGGGTCCACCTCTCAGGACGCACGCAGCCCGACCTGTCCTGCTGGGAGGACAGGACTTCTTGCAATGGGAGCAAGGTGCAGACACTGGCCTCTAAGAAAGGCGTAGGCCTTTGGACCTGATTTGTGAGCGGATGGAAGGTCAGTCCCCCCGTGACTTTGCTGAGTGTGATCGCGCTGTACCTGTCAGATTTGATGTCGCTGGGAGTCTGACCAGCGTTGGTGTGATAACCACACAACTGTTCACCGCAGATGGCAGCCCAGACCTCCCCCTTGCTATGTCGTCTATGGATCCAGGTCCATGGAGTCCATCTTTAGTAGGAGACATACAGCACTCGTTAACTACAGTAGTTTACTTATTGAATTCCTGGCACTTCGGGGGTTCCAGCATGGTGCTCAGAAATAACCCTTCGAACTGAAACTTTGAAAGAGAAGCCAGAGTCCTTTCCCTCCCTCACCTCTGAGTTGGCTTCTTTCTAAGATGCGCCTTCCCAAACTTCTGGCCTTTTGCTGTTCGGGTAGGTAATGTATCCCATCAAATCGGGGCTCTCTAATTCACCCTGATTCTTTGAGGAATGCTAAGGACTGAGATCAAGAAAGGGTGAAGTCCCAGTGCACCTTGGGGTGGGGACCTGAGGCCCTGTGATTACCCGTGTGTCCCCCATGTGTCCCCACCAGTGGTAGTGTCCGGGCTCTGTGGGCCACTGAGGAACTTATCCTGAAAGTGAGATCTTGTGCCTTCTGCCCTCCTGGTGCTGCGAGGAGCTGGGGACAGTGATGGCTTCACTCAGGAGCAGAGGAGTGTGTTTGAGTAGAGCGTCCAACCACCTGACCCAGCCTTCTTCCTCTCTCAGATCTTTTGGAATTGAAAGAGCATTTTCGAGAACCCACTATAAAATGCTACATAGCTAACATTTTAGGGCACTGGTTCTCACCTTCTTTAGGTAGATGCCTTGCTGTTCCGCCACAGATTCTGGGTGCTGACCTCAGGATGTATGGATCTTCTAGGAGTCTGTGGGCCTCGCGTGGAGAACCCCACAGGGGACATCTATGCACGGAATGGCCTGCTGGACAGAAGTGATCACACTGTTTTTTTGGTTTTTTTAAAGATTTTATTTATTTATTTGACAGAGAGAGACACAGCAAGAGAGGGAACACAAGCAGGGGGAGTGGGAGAGGGAGAAGCAGGCTTCCCGCCGAGCAGGGAGCCCGATGCGGGGCTCGATCCCAGGACTCTGGGATCATGACCTGAGCCGAAGGCAGACGCTTAACCAACTGAGCCGCCCAGGCGCCCCAATCACACTGTTTTTAAAATGTTTCCTCTCTTACCTGGACCCCACCCCACAGAGGTGTGTTTGTTTCCCACACTGAATACATGGCTAGATGGCAGTGAACATCCCCAGCATTAGGAAGACCCAGTTCTGCTGATCATACCTGCTATTTTCCCCCATGAATTTTTACCTTACGTCCTTGTACCTTGTTTTAGAATCAGGTCTTTTTTAAATTAAAGATAATCTGTTGTTGTTATTATAAAATCAGTCATGTACATCTCAGAAAAAAACATAAACCAACAACAACAACATTGTATATTGACCTTCCAAAAATTAGTAGTTAATTCCTTACTATTTATCCACCTAGGTGTTTGTGTGTGCATGTGTGCACTTCTATTAAATGAGCTATGCTGATTTACTATTTGTAACATGTAAGTTAATACTAGCCACCCTTTCATGTCAATACGAGTTTATCCTGTCTTTATCTTCTACCCCACTTTCTGGTTTCTCAAATGTCCCCCAGATTGTCTACATCAGGATCCAGTCCAGGACCATGCATCACATGTGGTCCATTCCCTTGAATCTTTTGTTCTAGCATTTAAAGGATCTTTTCGTGACTCTAGACTTAATAAAGAGACCTGATCAATTAGTTATCTGTCCTGCAGAATGTCCTACATTCTGGATTTTTTGCTTCCTTGTGCCTCTAGTCCCTCTGGTTCCTTCCAACTGGAAGCTAAATGTAAAGGTTTGCTGTATTTAGGTGAAACATTTTTTGGCTAATAGACCCTTAGGAATCATGAAGATGGATTAATTTGGTCGATGCTGGAGGGTTTGCAAAAACTTTGGGTAGCAAAATCAACTTAAAATGGCCCCTTTGCAGGCAGGTATTTTATAAAAGAAGTGATATTAAGCCTCCTCTTGTATAATATTTTTCTTGTCTCCCTTCACCCTGCTGTTGGCTCATGTCCTTCCAATGACACTGGCTCACGGTGCCTTGTTGATCAGACTGGCAAGTTACTTTCTCCACGGTGCTTTACAAGCACGTAATAACACGAGCCAACATTAATGAGCATGGGCTACACTAAGTGCTTGGTGGGGGTGTGTGCTTGGTCGTAGGCTGTCTGAATCCCAGCCCAAGTGCCGGGCCTTACCCAGCTATGGGTCTGCCTCCTTGACTCTCTCTGCTGCCCGCTAAGTGTTCTGTTTGTACTCTTTTCATTTTGACGTAGAGATCTATGATCTGTTTGGATGGATACCTAACGGTGCTCGTCGATGAGAAGATTTGGTCTTATTCACCATGTAAAAAAGTGGCAAGCTCTTAGAGTAACGCTGGATATAAATCCAAGTCCGTTTTTTCTACTGCCTGCCTCCCCCTCCGTGATTGCTGTGCAGTCACTCAGGGTAGCTAACAGCACCCTTTGAGAAGCCTTTGCCACCTGGTGTTCATGCCCTTTCCAGAACGACGTGAGAGGAGTGTTTCTGAGCTTCTGCCTTTCTCATTTTCATAAGACTAGCAGGTGCTTTCCTAGTTCGTCTGGGCCCTCCGTGTGCACACCCACTGACATGTCGCCTTGTAGAAGCCTCGATCCTAGTTTTAACGTATGCAGGTGCCTAGTCGGTGGTACAGACATAGCTGAAGTCTGGTGATTATTTCTCCTTGGAAGGGGTGATGCCGGCACACGCTGAGTGGGGGGCTCCCTACCGTTCCCTTCCTCCACCAGTACTGACAGTGTTTGAGAATAGGGTCTTTGTCCCCTGTGCCCTCCTTCTGCTCATGGCTGGCTTTGAGGTAAGCTATAACCAATAATCTACCAGGCCCCAAAACTGGGAACATCTTAATGCTTTCAGCCTCAATGTGGACAGGAGAGAAGCCTGGGAAGATCACTCCTTGTTCCTTCCTCAAGGCCTCCTTGCACTGTTTTGTGCCTGTCTCCTATCCTGGTTTTTAAACTTTGTAGAAAAAGAAAATCTTCGCTAATCTCTAGATTGTTAGGACATCTCTAATTCCTCTCTAATGGAAATACTGAAGTGAGGCATGACTATGTGCTGAGAACGTTGAGTGCCAGTAGTTTTAAGCTAATCCAGTAATAGGCAAAGGAGAGGTTACAAGCTGGGTTCCCAAGGTTCCCTTGACCTCAGGGCCATGGTCTTAAGTAGTATGGGGGTAGGTATTCAATATGTGCTTGTTGTGCTTAACTGAATTGCCAATTTGGATTCTTTTTTTCCCCCCTAAGCTCCTATTACTTAAACATCAATAGGGCGCCTGGGTGGCTCAGTCGTTAAGCGTCTGCCTTCGGTTCAGGTCATGATCCCAGGGTCCTGGGATCGAGTCCCACATCGGGTTCCCTGCTCGGCGGGAGGTCTGCTTCTCCCTCTCCCACTCCCCCTGCTTGTGTTCCTGCTCTCGCGTCTCTCTCTCTGTCAAATAAATAAAATCTCTAAAAAAAAAAAAAATCAATAAATTACTTTTACTGTGATGGGTTAATCAGGTAGACTTTTTTTTTTTTAAGATTTTATTTATTTGACAGAGAGAGAGAGAGAGCACAAGCAGGGGGAGTGGCAGACAGAGGGAGAGGGAGAAGCAGACTCCCCGCTGAGCAGGGAGCCCCATGCGGGACTTGATCCCAGGACCCCGAGATCATGACCTGAGCTGAAGGCAGATGCTTAACCAACTGAGCCACACAGGTGCCCCTCAGTAGACTTCTGAAATATCCACATCACACTTAGAATTTCACATTTGGGTGGCATTAATTTATAGTTTATTGTGTTCTAGATATATAAGTTGAAAGCAGAAACATTCCCTGGATAACAGTGGCCATATTTTTCAACCTAAAAATAAAGGATAATGGATAAATGATTTTCACACCCCTTCTAGACATATAAGAGACAACTTATGAGATGTAGTTTATATGCTGTTTGTATTTAAAGGGCATTTTAATGGTTTATATGAACACTAAGACATAATATCTGAATTTTGCCCATGCTGGAAAATCTGGGATGTGTAGTCAACATGCAGTACAAGTTCCAAATGTACTAAAAAAACAAATTAAAGCTTGTCCTTCCAGATGCCATTTGCCAAGTTCTGTTTTCCACCATTATCACAGATGATAGCAGAATGTCCTCAGTTATGCAGTGTGGCTTTAGATCATTAATTTTCTCCTTTTGGAGCTAGAATTAATCTTTATTCCAAGTGAAGTGTTGGATTCTTTTAAGCATGTTAAATTTCTCCTGTAATTGTGCTTTTTCTCTTCATCTCCCCTTTTGGTAAGGCTGGGCTAGGGTGACCAGATATCCTGAGTCCTTGGCAGGATCAGAATTGTTAGCCCCCACCCCTGGAAAAGTGGTTTAATGTTGAAAATGATTCAAAGGAAATAACTTGATCTTTTTTTTTTTTTTTTTAAGATTTTATTTATATGACGGAGAGGCAGCGAGAGCAGGAACACAAGCAGGGGGAGTGGGAGAGGGAGAAACAGGCTTCCCGCCGAGCAGGGAGTCTGATGTGGGGCTCCATCCCAGGACCCTGGGATCATGACCTGAGCCTAAGGCAGACACTTAATGACTGAGCCACCCAGGCGCCTCTAATTTGATCATTTGTACCTCTGCCCTCATTAAGCAGCTTAAGTCCTCATGTTTTCAGAAATTTCCTCCTTAGAATAATAGTCTTGACCTTGTAATGGATTTGTCAACAGTAATCAGCAATCATTTATTGAGTATATGATATCCCCAGAGCTGGGCAAGATACCAGCGCTACAGAGGAAGCCCGTTAGGATCTCTGCCCTCAAGGCTTAGAGGATGGGGGGGGGGGGGTGGTCAGTCAAGGTCAGTCAAGGTCAGCCGGGCGATTGTGAATGTATGTGGGCGGTATTAGGAGAAACACGAGCGTGCAGAGTTCTGGGACCACATGCGTAGGTCATGGCACCCAGACTTTGGGAGCCCAGGGAAAAGTCTGCTAGATAACGTAATATTTAGGCTGATATTTGAAGAAGGACTAAAGGAGGCAATCAGACAAATGAATTAAATCAGTAATACACCATTTCGGGAGCCCCAGAGGTCACAGGCTTTTCTTCCACCGAGCGGCTGCATTGCAGTGTAGCATTTAAAAACAGATTCCGTCATTGGGATAGCTGGGTTTTGTTGTCTTTCTCTCTCTCTCACTCTCACTCTCCCAGATTACCTAGTAATTGTAGACTCTTTAAAAATTTTTTTCCACTGTTAAAAAAACATTCTTTGAAGAGGTAGAACACTCATTTTTATCTCTCTAGCAAATTCCACCTTGATTGTAAACTAAAACTGATGGAGAATTTATTTTCTGCTTTCTGGGTTATTGCCATTTTAACTGGCAGATGAATGATCAGTGAAAGGCTCCCGAAACTGGTGTGTTCATCCAGCCTTTCAGTCTCTTCATGAGGGATTCTCATATTAAGTCTACACCCTCCCAGAGAGGAAGTGAGCGTGCTAAATGGAAAGCTGATTAAGCTATTGGGATTGCTTTGACCGTGTTCTTTTTTAAAATTTGGACTCTCTGGGGTTTCATATTCAAAGACTTAGTTTTAAAGAAGGGAGGTTTATGCATAAAACATGAATGAGTGCTTGAAACATTTATATTAAGGTTGGGAAGAATTAATTTGAATAATATTTGGCATAAATCTGCTGTTAGGAAGACAGCAAAATATAGCCCAACAAAAAGAGAGGATTTTAACTCCCTGAAATTTTAGCTGTTTAACCTCAGCAGTTTTTAAATTATCTGACTCTTAATTCGTTCTTTACCATATTTCCAAGATTTTTTACTTATCCTCTGCAGTTAAGGACATGTGATTTGTTTTGGAATATGGAGACAAACAGAAAATACCTTCGTTCTACATTTGTTGACTTGAAAGAATCATGATTTTTTTTGGTTTCGTAAAAATAATAAAGGTTTTCTTTAAAAAGTGACACCGGAAAAATGAATAAAAATCATTCAGAATACTATCACTCAGAAATAACCATCATTAATATTTGCCACACATCATTCTAGACATCTATGGGTTTCTGTAGTAAGAGAATGAGAAGGATTAAAAGGATACAAAATAAAATGGGTGCCATATTCTGTTACCCTTTAAATAAGTACGAGATTTCATTTTACTTGGACAGGATAAACCGAAGTGAAACTAAAATAATCGGTGAACTTGATAAATATTTTCTCAAAATAAGCAATTACCAGATGATTCTTCCAAAGTCAAGAAAAAAATGAGGGAAAACTTGGAAATTGTAATCATTGAAAATATATAGTTTTCAGCTGTTGATAGAATCTTCTAACCCCTTGCTATGAACACTTGTCTCCCCCAGCCCCCACCCTCTGTTAATGATAAACATTAACTTTTCCATTCTGTTCTGTACCTGTTCTCCCACAGTTCCTCAGTCTCATTCTACAGCCTAATCACAGCTTCTTGACTCCTCTTTGTTTTCATTTCCTTTGAGTTGGTTGAATGTCTTTGCCAACTCACGTCTTGAGTTGTGGCGTGCTTGAGATTGTTTAGTTGAGATAGTTGAGGGAAAGGCACATCTTGAGCCCCATGGGGATTCTGGTGCGGCTCCTCTGTCCTTGACTGGGGACTCACATGGGCCTCGGGTTCTTCCTGATTCGTCCCTCTAACTGAACCAACTGCCCGACAGTCCCAACTAACATTTAGAAATCTCAGGAGCTGCAGGTGACTCTTGGTCACTGCCTCCTCCCCAACCCCTTAGCACAACGCTCCTTAAATCACTGCACTTTCCACGTGTAAATTAGCTTTTCACAAATGAGAGTCACTGCAGCTCCTCCACTGGCCAGCAAGTAGCTCATGAGGCTGCTTCCAGAGTGCTTGAGCTCCCAAAACAGACGCTTGGAAACCTTGTGTGTGGCTTACTTGCCTTTTTTGGTTATCTGTAAAGACTTTTTCAAGCTGACAATTTTTTTTTTTAAGATTTTATTTATTTGAGAGAGAGAGCATGAGCAGGGGGCAGAGGCAGAGGGAGAAGCAAACTCCCTGCTGAGCAGGGAGCCTGATGGGAGGCTCCATCACAGGATCGTGACCTGAGCTGAAGGCAGACACACTTAACCTACTGAGCCACCCAGGCGCCCCACAAGCTGACAATTTTGACTGTAAAAACAAAAATCAAGGTAGTAGAAGATAGAAATAAGTAGGAAAAAAAAAATTGAAGTCAGAATTGAATATATTTCCACTCTGAAATTTACGGCTACCTGTGAATACGTAATTGACATATTCCAAGTTTTCTTAGTCCCCATTTCAATTATTCCATGTTCATTAGGATCACAAATTCATCAAATGTGGTTTCTTTCCTTGCCAGTGGGGCATAAAGTGAGAAATTACCATTCAAGGATTGCTCACCTGTCGTCACAGCAGTGAATTCATACGGTGGAGCTGTAACTGGAAACTCCTGCCCTGCTCACTGCCTACCATAGTAGTACCTCTGCTTGGCAGCCCTTAAGCAGCCGCTGCCCTAGATTTCCCGGGGACTGACCCTCAGCAGCATCTGACCGTCCATGAGAGGCCAGCATTCCTTACTCAGAAGCAGATTCCCTGAACCCAGGATTATAGAGACAAGCTGAGATAGCCTAGTCAGATCTTTCTATAATAAGGTTGAGGTGTGAATTACTTTTTTTAAATAACAATAAAAAAAAATAGTCCTTACCATTGAGGATTATAAAACGAGATCTCTCATAGGTCTCCAGTTTCCCAGTCACTGGTGATACATAAGATAATTGTGGGTGGAGATGACCATTTTTATTTTCATAGTCCTGCTTTTCAAACAGTGTACATTAGAAACCTGTCTAGCAAAATGGTAATAACACAAAGGTTTTCATTTCTCCTGTAAGTAAAAAGTGAGCCAATTTAAAGAAAATATAAATGAGCAGTCATATAGATAATATGCAGATATAGCAAAAAAAAATTATGAGAATGATGTGCAAATCACTCAAGTTTCGGCAACACGAGAATGTGGCAATCGGAAATACGCAGATAGGGCAAACATTGCACAAGGGTGCAAGAGGGAAATTTGGAAATAGGGATATTAAAGTGAAACCTATTTAAGTTGTGCTTGTCACAAGCCTGAATTTTCCCCTATCAAAATCGACACCTGTCTACTGGGTCTGATGCAGGTGGTGTCCCCCTGCCGTCCCCCGACACCCGCACGACGGCGACCTGCCGCACCGCACATGCTCGCGGAGCCGCGCTCCCGTGCCCTCCAAGCGCCGCCCCTGCCCTTCCAGTCTGGGAAGTGTTTTGGAAGGGAAACAAATTGGAAACATAATGAGCACAACCTTTATCCCACCTAATTCATTTTTTTTATTGAAAAGTAAATTCTTCACATATGGGTACTTTAAAAAAAAAATTGACTTTCTAAGTAATTTTCGCTGAGAGTTTTCAGCGCGCTGGTGACTGATTGCCACTTGCCAGAGCCCCCATGTGTTTGAGAAATCGTGGTCTCACAACTGGTTTTGGTTTCAAATACCAAACTGTAGCAGAACCCCTCGTGGGGCGATTTGTGCTTTAGGGACTATTCTCCTCTGACCTAATAATATCCCGTTTTGTCTTTCACACACACAGACTGTCGGGCGGGAGCTCCTTCTGCACTTAATTGAACATCTCGTAACCAATGATGGAAAAGACTTTGAAATCACAAATTTAATCCACAGCACCCGGATACACTTCCTGCCTTCAATGAACCCAGATGGATTTGAAGTGGTCATGAAGCCTGACTGTTTTTACAGTAATGGAAGGTGAGGATGGGCTCCTCTCTTGAGAACAACAACAAGGCCCCCATCAGACAGTACCCCGGGGCCTTATTAGTGAACCAGCTCAGCCTGGGTCATGTCACTGCCATGCTGAAAACTCTTCAGGCTGCCACTGCTTTGAGGACGAAAAGTAGAATCCCAAAGAAGGCTGCTTTACTCCCGTGCCCGCCCTACTGCTCGCACTCGCTCACCCTGGCCCAGCCCCTCGGAGTCTCCTCCATCTCCTGAACCGACCTGGTTCTCTCTCGCCTCAGGCGCTGGACGCATCTCACTTCCCACTCCTCGCCCCTCTCGCTGCCAAACAGCGTTTCCTCAGAGACTCCCTCCATGACCTGTCCTCTATTAGGCCCCTGGTTCATACCGCCTGCCACTTTACCTTCATGGCACAAATTTTAAGGTCTGATTTTTTGTTCAGTGTCTCTCTCCACACAGATCTGTAAGCTACGCTGGGGGCAGGAATCCTGTCACCCATGTTGCTCACTGTTAAATCTCCAGGGCCTAGCTGGGCCGTCAGTAATTACCAGTTAGTTTATTAAGCCAGTGCAAGAACTAACCACAAAAGAAGAGGGAGTCAGGGCGCTCGGGTGGCTCAGTCGGTTAAGTGTCTGACCCTTGATTTCGGCTCAGGTCATGATCTCGGGGTCGTGAGATGGAGCTCTGGGGCTCTGTGCTCAGCGGGGAGTCTGCTTCTCTCTCTCTGTCCCTCCCCCCATTTGTGCACTCTCTCTCTAAAAAAGCTGTTAAAAAAGAAGAGGGAGTCTTGTATTTCTGATTTAAACAGTTTATTTTGTTGCATTGTGCCTCAGGAAGTTTAGAATTTCTCAAATGTCTAACATACATTTATATTTGGGCAAACATTTGTTTGTTTTTACCAAAAATAAATAAAATCTCACCATTGATTCCCTTCAACTTTAGGTTTTTCTAGTGTATTTAAACATGGCCAGTCTACTTTCCAGAAGTACATTTGTATAAATAGTGTGTTCCTGTTGTTTGTTATCAGTTGCTATATAACAAACCATCCCCAAATTTAGGGATTCATTCCCTTTTTATTTACTCTCAATTCTGTAAGTCAGGAATTTGGACAAGCCAGAGCAAGGCTGGCCAAGCTCTGTACCATCGTCTGGAGCCTCAGCTCAGGCTGGCTGAGACCACCAGCCTGGGACATGTCTGGGGTCTCAATTCTGGCTGTCACCTGGGTTCCTCATTTCTCCGGGCGGACTCTCCACGGGGTTAGCACCGGAGTCTCAGGTTTCCCAGAGGAAGTGTTCCAAGAGCAAAAGCCCTGAAATGCAAACACTCATCAAACCCCTGCTTACAGCACAACAGCTACGATCCCCCTGGTAAGAGCCAGTCACACGGGAGGGGCTGCGGAGTGCGTGAATGCCAGGGGTGGCCCTCCGAGGCTACCCAGGTGACTGACCATCCACCTTCCCTGTGCTCACATTTGGAAGAACACCTGGAGCCCAAACCAAAGGGATACACACTGCACGAGTCCACTTCCTCACATACCATCAGTAAACCCAAAAATATTCTTTCTTTTAAAGGGAAAATAATAACTACTATGACCTGAATAGAAATTTCCCCGATGCTTTTGAATTTAATAACGTGTCAAGGCAGCCTGAGACTGTGGCTGTCATGGAGTGGCTGAAAACAGAGACGTTTGTCCTCTCTGCAAACCTCCACGGCGGCGCCCTGGTGGCCAGTTACCCGTTTGACAACAGTGTTCCAGGTGAGCAAACAGCGGCCCGGCCTGGCTTCCTGAGCCCGGAGCGGGACTGCAGAGTCGGCCTCCGGAGGGGAACAAGTCTGCCCTCTGCCCTTTGCGGCCAGGGGTGGAAGAGCTCGTTTTCTCACCTCTGAGCCACTCTTCCTACAATTTATAGACCGCAGATGGGCACGGTGGCTGACCTGGCGACCCCCAGGATTATCTGAGATTCATCGGGAAAATAGTAGAATCGGGTTAGAATACCCCACAAGAGGCAACATGCCTGAAAGTAAATAAAACCGGAATAACTTACCTTTCTTTGCTAATCATAGGAGCAATCATTTGACTCCTCTTAAAACTCCGTGGGATGAGGACTTAAAACGAGCGCAGTGCCTTTATTTAACCCCTTCAGTATGTAAGGAGAGCTTATCCCCCTCCAGAAATGAGTGAGAGTGACTAAGAGGCTATTCACCTTGTAAGCCGATACAGGAGGAGTTGGAATATGCATCTAGTTTGTTTCATGTGCTATCACCCTGTGTCTGCTCATTAGAAACGAGGAGAAAGGGTAGGGGGAGCCCTCGTGGAAGTGGACACGTGTCCCTCTGGGAAAGCAGGGTCTTTGCCTGTGATGCGGTGGCGTGTTTTCTAATACGGCGCCATGTGTTTCCGAGTACTTGTACTCCGACACCAACAGAAAGGTCTTGGTTTGTTTTTCACACACAGCGACGGGGATGTTACATTCCCATAGCTTAACCCCTGACGACGATGTTTTTCAACACCTTGCACATACCTACGCTTCAAGAAATCCCACCATGAAGAAAGGAGACCAGTGTAAAAACAAAATGAACTTTCCTAACGGAATCACAAATGGCTACTCCTGGTATCCACTCAAAGGTCAGTTTCTCTGCCCTTCTGGCATTCTCCTATTGCCTTCATCCAGAGGTGCCACTGTCTTTGGTTGACCCCTGCAGGTGTCCAGATTTGTTTGGCACGGTGCCATCCTTTAGTCGTGTCTCTGTCAGCTCATGGCCCAGAAGCACTAGGGGGTGACGGCCCGAGAGCTGCTCAGATGCTCGCTCAGCGTTTGCCCACGATGAGCCGGGAACTTTGCCAAGAAGGCTGAACAGGACCCAGCCCCTACCCTCGGGCTTAATAGGGAAGAGCAGCACGCAAGTAAATAACTGTGGTGGCAGTGTAATTAGAATAAAAATGGGAGGTTTGGAAAAGGTAGTGTGCCCGAGAGGTAGAAAGCCAGAGTACAACAAGGAGTGGAGAAGCCCCTGGAGAAATGTAATGTTTATGTCACATCGACCAGGGACCCCTGCTAATCCAGCTACTTAGGGCCACACGCCAGGGGGATCCAAATATCGCCAGATCGCCCAGTTTGTAAAACAAGCTGAACTTGTACGTGAGGTATCATGATTTTTAAAGCCACTTTGCAAGCTGAACAAGAACGCTTTTCCAGGGCGCCTGGGTGGCTCAGTTGGTTAAGCGACTGCCTTCGGCTCAGGTCATGATCCTGGAGTCCCGGGATCGAGTCCCGCATCGGGCTCCCTGCTCAGCGGGGGGTCTGCTTCTCCCTCTGACCCTCCCCCCTCTCATGCTCTCTCTATCTCATTCTCTCTCACAAATAAATAAATAAAATTAAAAAAAAAAAAAAAAACGCTTTTCCAGCTAGATACCTGGTTGGGGTGGGGGAGGGAGGGTCCGGTTTTCTGCCCTTGGACCAGGACGGCCGGGTGAGGGAACGGGTAAGGAGACTGCCATGTAGGGGTCACGGGATGGGGGGGAGGGGGCTGTTCTTGTAAAAGGAATCACGTAAGCAAGCCCAGGGGCGTAGGAGAACCCGGGCTTGTCGGGGGCCTGAGCGAGCGGGAGGGCCCTAGGGCGGAAGAGCGGCGGGGACTGGGCCTCGGTGGTGGAAGGTGCCCCCTGTGAGACTGGTTCGCCCGACCCCGCCCGCAGCGAGCTGGAGGCTGCGTTGCGGCACGCGGGCCCCTTTCCCAGTTGTCACTGGGAGGCACAGGCTGTGCCGTCCTGTTGCACAAGCTGGTACTTTCCGGTCTCTGCCAGCTTCCCAGGTGCTGAAAGCAGCAGGGCCAGCTAGACACCGCAGCATCCCACACTCCTCTCTGTTGTCCCCGATACAGTTCCCGCCCCAGGCCCATGCCCGCTCTTCACTCTTCGCAGGCAGCCGAGGGCTCCCTCCTGCTCCAGGGCAGAGCTGTCCCTCATGGCCATCTGTAACCTTCAAGGCAGATCCAGATGTGTGGGGAATGAGCCAGGAAGCTAACGTGGCTGTCGGGAAGCGGCGTACCCCGAGAAGAAAGGCAGGCAGAGCCCGCTACTTTGAGGAGCTTAGAGCATTCCGGCTCGGTCTGGAGGTTTTGTCCACCAGGCCCGAGTTGCATTAGCCAGAGCTGCACACCCCACGCTTAGCAGTCCCACTCCTGCGCGCTTTGTACGCCTGTTCTGCCATTTCGGTTCTTTCTGCCTGGCAGCCATCCAACCCAGGACTTCGGTTTTGTTTCTTTCTTCCTTTTCTTTCATTTCTTGGTGAAAACAAGGTCAGAGAGAAATACAAAACTTAGAAGGCAAATAAATACAAAGGACAGAGATATTCTTCCTGCTAGAATCTAGACCTACATAGATATTACTTAATAAAATTTTTTGATATATTTTGACTACTTTCTTAGCATGAGGTTTTTTCTAATTCAGTACTTCCCAAATACCCCGAGAGAATTGAGAATACATATTTTATTAGGCAGATACCAAGTATAACAAATTAAAATCTGGCAGAAGGTACTTCCTTCAAAGTTATATTTCATCAAATCCAAGATGCCACTGATTATAAAAATACACTGTACCACTAAGGAAGAAACAAAAATGTTCCTGGCCAATCTAATGACAATGGTGTTTCTCAGCCATCAAGTTTAAGACCCCTCCCAATTCAGAGATTTTAAAATATGAAAAGTTTTGCATTTGAGAAAATACAAAATGGGACTATAGTCCTTTGAAAATAGGGTCTCCAGAGGTGAGAACTGGGAGGTGAGCATGGGCACTGGCGGCCTCAGAAGGGGGCGTGGGTCCCTTCTGTCCCGAGAGCCGGCCCCGGCCCCCCTCTTTCATCCCCTAAGCAGCTCGGTGTCACGGGCAGGAGCACAGGGCCTTGAGCAGGACAGTTTGCGCTGGGCTCTGCACCCATGTGCATGTTACTTACCCTCTGGGATTGTCTCCTTGTCTCTTGAGACGGGGGGAAGGGGGGGTCACTGCTGTTACAGGCTCTTCAAATGGTTCCCCAGTAATAGCAAACACTTGCTGAACGTTAGCCATTATTCTCCCAGTGAGTGTACTTAGCTTTACATTATTTATGAATGGTTTGTAAACAATTTTTTAGAAGTATCGTTCCATATCTGTTTAGAATATAATTTACAGAAGAAATGTACACTGATGAATCCTTTTTGTAATGTATGATTGACAAAAAAGGACTGACCCTTCCCCTCCCCCTCAGCTGCACAGTTGAACTTGGGCCTGCTCTGATCCAGTTACCCATATGGGAGTATTTAGGACTGCCTGTTCGTGCCTGGGTGATAAAACGTCAAGCCCTGAGTTTATATGCTAATATGTCAAATTCATCTTTTCCTGTTTACATGTACTTTCCTTGCAGCTATCTGATTCACTTGTCCCCAAGGTACAGGATACTTGACTCCATTCCAATTTTAGACCTTAAAAAATTAAATATGTTTGTGTTTAGGTGGAATGCAAGATTACAACTACGTCTGGGCCCAGTGTTTTGAAATTACGTTGGAGCTGTCATGCTGTAAATATCCTCATGAGGAGAAGCTTCCATTCTTCTGGAATAAAAACAAGGCCTCATTGATTGAATATATAAAACAGGTTCACCTAGGTTTGTAAGATTTTTTTTATTAATTCCTGTTAACACAAAACATAGCATGTAACAAAACCTTTGGGTTGAGAGAATGTAAGCCCCTATTTGTTTTCCTGGTACAGCCTCATTTTGAGTACCAGAACTAATGATTAAGAATTTTCTCTGCATGAATATCTGCAGCACGTGAGAAATGCAGTGCCCATCAGTTCATAGAAGAGAAAGCATGATGTATGTTACTTTAATATGGGGGTGGAAAATCCAGAGTACTTCGAATTTTTCATGTGGAAATCTCGTAAAAGATCCAGGAAAACAAGTTATTACTCTGTTAAATCATTCCCCATCTCGGAAATGCCCAGTTTGCTGATCACTTGTCACACAATATCATAGATCCAGAGAATACCGGACATGCCATTTTGCCTTTTTCTTAGTACTGGGATGCTGACCTAGCACCATTAGCTTCAAACCCCTCACTCCTGCAACTCTGCCAAATGACCTACCTGGTCCTGGCAGTCTTCCCAGGCTGGTCTTCTGACAGCTGTCTAGCCTTTATCTCAGGTGGACAGACTAACCGGGCAAGAGTGATAGTTCTCAAACCTGGACAGCAGACTCTCTCAGCAGACTCAGATTGCCAGGCCCCAGCCCCGAAGTTTGATTTAGTGCATCTTGAATGGTGCATCTTCCCCAAGGAGATGCTGGTGCTGCTGGTCCAGGGACCACGCTCCGAAAACCACTGTAGCAGAGAAACTCGGTGCTTGTGATGGTGACAATGGAGTCATGCAGTTTAAGCTTCTTTAGCCCGGCTGTGTCTCTGTGGGCGGGGGGTGGAAGGCTCTCTGCATTGCCAGGGTTTCAGTTCTCTCCCTTCAGAGGGCTTCAGAAGGGCTTCAGAAATTGGCACAGTAGTTAGACTGCTACGTCACGCTGAAGTAGGTGTGGGTTTGTGTTGATGAGGGTTGCATCATAGGCCTGCTGCACAACTGCACAATTCCTGCAATTACCCCAAAGCTTTCCACCTGCTAGAGCGACGCAGGGAAGAGTCCGACGCACAGGGGGTCCAGGGCTGAGTGCAAGGATAACTAAGAGCTTCCTTTGGCCCCATATATGCCCCGCCCCCCACCCCCCTCCCTGCCAACCAGCCTCCAGCACCACTCCCCACAGCACAGGTGCACACAGATTATTGGTGAATTCACAGGGCTGAGACATGTATGAAGTAGGGATGTTAAAGGAGTCTTTTTTCATCAGCATCCTAGCAGTTACTAAGATTACTGGGTCCTCTCCTAATATTCTGGTATTTTGCTACTAGATTTTCCTCATGAGGCACATAGTAATTTAGCCTTTCTATTGTATTTCCTTATTTAGTATTACTCTGCCTATTGTAAAATTTCTCCTTCATCAGCATCAACATGGGAGTGCAGCTGAAAAAGAAATATGCTCCACATAACTGCACTACTCTTTTTGGAATTTCAATCTAGCTGTAAAGGTTATTTTCCAAGCACTGAATTAAGGTGGGCTCTGAAGTGTCATGCTGGCCTAATAATGCCCGTGAAGGAGCTTTGTAAACTGTTAAGTAACATGCACATTGTAGCATGACTATTACTAATTTGGAGGGCTTACAAGTCCACAGGTTTTATAAAGAATATTCATCTGCCTATCCCTATAATCAGGGATGCACAACCTACTTAAAAATATAAATGTATAAGCACATCAACTCTGCCCCCTTGTGGTTTAAGACAGAGGCTTTTTTTTTTTTTTTTCCCCTAATTTAATGAAACCCAATTTCAAAACACTAATAGTGTGGTCATTGTCACTTGATAGGTTCTCTCCATTTCAGTGTGTAGGAGGAAGCCAAAAACTGTCTTTGCTTGGGGATGATGGGAGCAAACCTTCTTACTGGTTTTGCTGTGGTTTAAGGAAAGTACTGATATTTATCAAGCAGTGTTGCGTTCAGTGGCTTAGCTTCACCACTTGCTAAGATGTATCTGAGACTTGGACCCATCTGGAAGTCTCTGGCTTACCTTCTCTGGGAAGGAAAGGCCTGGAAGGTGGTACATATCACTTCCATTTTACAGGTGATGAAACAGTCTGGGAATGTTTAGTGACCTGGGATTTACACTGAGCCTGACTGGTATCTATCTGTACTTACCTAATGTGTCAGAAGACCTCCTAAGAAGGGCATGATGGGAATATCTCTTCAAAGAATAATGCCACCGATACCCAATGAATAAATGCATAATTGGGTTATTAAGTCATGACTGATGTTTATAGTTGGGTCCTACCTAAAGATCAAAAGGATACATACCAAGTAGTAGGAATAAATATAAATGAAACTTTTAGAAGAGGCAGAAGGACAAATTACCTGAAACTAGAGGTTCACAGCTGCTATCTGTTGAATATGTGAGAAGGAAATACGGCATTTAGTAATTTCTTCTCTGGGGGGGTGAAAATGAAGAGTCAAGAATTAGGAAAGTGAAAGCAGCAACTTGGGTCAAGCAGAGGTTTGCTTAATGTTCGAGACAAAGATTTTGTTGCTAAGTGTTAAAATTTTATATTTCATTTTAAACTTTTCTGAAGGAACTATAATTATGCCACGTTATCTTTCTGCTCCAGTAAATAATTACTAAGTAAAATGTTCTGGGAATAGTTCAGGGTCATTTTTTCCTTGTGGCTTCTTCTCATATCATTAAGATGATATGTCACTGAGTGAACACACTGGAAGGTGAAGTGTAACATTTAAAATGACCTTTTCTTAACTGTACTCCTGAAATTTTGAGGTGAGGGGCATGGTGTCAGGTTCAGTGTGGGCCCTGGAGACTAGTGTGGATTTACAGCCAGGCTCTAGGAGCTTAAGGTTATTTAATAACCCAGAGCCTTAGTTTCCTCATCTGTAAAAGTGTGAAGGTATTGCCTACGTGATAGAGTTGATGTGAGGATTCAGTGAGAACATGCACGTTAAGCATTTGCCATAGAGCCTGAAATATACTAACAATAAATGTTCACTCCTGTTATTAGTAATAAGACACCATTAACCAATCCCATGATTCCAAGCAATCTTGTGATTATAATTGTTTCCCATCTAGTTTGACCATGAGACAAAACTATTGAGGCCCTTCCACAGGTAAGTATCTTATTGTAAATTAATACACTGGCTTTTTTTTTTTTTTTTTTTTTTTTGAGTAATCTCTACACCCAACGTGGGGCTTGAACTCATGACCCCAAGATCAAGAGTCACATGTTCCCACTGCCTGGGCCAGCCAGCCGCCCCCACCTCCCCTGCTTTTTGTAAATACACTGGCATTTTTTAGTTTAGGATTTAGTGGAATCTACCGAGGACAATGTTGTAGTAGTTTGGTGACTGAGTAAGCAACTTGGAAAAGACAGGAATGGATTTAGGTTGTCATCTGTGTTCTCTCATTTTGATACTAGGTGCCATAAATGGAACATTTGACAATAAACAAATTTAGCCTATAAATCTGATTGTTAGCTTGACTGTATTTTAAGTTACATCAAAAATAAGTTTACCAAGTTCTGGTTCAAGATGGCAATGTAGGAGGATCCTGAATTCATCCCCTCCCCCAGACACACCGAATCTATAGCTACATATGGAAACCCAAAAACTACCTAAGCCGTTCCTACATATTGGGCGAATGAGAATAAACCTATATTGCAACGAGTAGGAGAGGTTGAGACACGATCCTGCCATACACCCCATCCCTGTTGCAGCAACCCACATTGAAGGAACTCACAACTCCAAACTTCTCCCTGAGCAGCAAAAGGTTTGAACCCCACATCTGGCACCCCAACTTTTAAAAGCTACCCAAGAAACAATCCCTGAAAACACCTAGCTTTGAAAGCCATGGGGCTTGCATCCACAAGACCCTCAAACTGGGAGATAGTTCTTAAAGGGTCTGCACAGGTGCACCTGGCTGCCTGCCAGGGCCCAGTGCAGAGCCAGCCAACTGAAAGATGCCCAGTTTTCCTGTGAAAACGGCCTATTTGCTGGTCTTAAAGCTTTGACCTGAGGGGCAGGCATCTAATTTAATACTCTCCAAAGATGGAGGCTGGCAAACACCATGTTTGCACTCTCCCTCCCTCCCGGTCACCAGTCTCCCCCAAAAGGGAATCTATGCATGCATCCGGTGTCCCAGTTTGGGGAGCTATCATCCAAGGGATACCGCTTAGTAGCTCTGGTAGCCAGTGGCTCCAACAGGACACTAGCAAACAGTTCTTAACTGGCTCTCATCCCAGGGCTCAGTGTAGAGGGAACAGGGAGACGCATCCATCCCCCAGTCTGTCTTCCCCTGAAAGAGATTTATTTGCATCCTTTAAAAGCCTCCGCCTAAGGGTCTGGAATACAATCAGCCTGAATCTAGGTACTGATAGGTCTTGGCACAACCTCAACTACTGGGAACTACTAAGAATCAAGTAGACTGCTTAGACAATCAGGTTTGAGAAACAACCAAGAGCTAGGGCAGAGCTGAATGATAAGGTTCATCTACAAAAGACCACTCCTCCGGGACTGGAAGATGTGGGTGTTTTACCTAATGTATAGAAACCGACACAGAGTCAAAGAAAATGAAGAAATAGAGCAATATATTCCAAACAAAAAAATAAGGTAAAGCCTCAAAAAAGACCTTACTGAAACAGTGATAAGTGATCTACCTGATAAAGAGTTCAAATAATGACCATAAACATGCTCACTGAGCTCAGGAGAACAATGCATGAACAAAATGAGAATTTCAACAAAGAGGTATTACAAGACACCACCAAACAGAAGTCACACAGCTGAAGAATATAGTAATAGCACTGAAAAATACAACAGACTGAACATCAGACTAGATGAAGCAGAAAAATCCGTGAACTTGAAAACGGCATTGGAACTAATCCAATCAGAGCAACAAAAGGAAAAGAATGAAATAGAGTGGAGATAGCTCTAGGGATTTATGGGACAACATCGGGCATACCAACATTCACATTATAGGGGTCCCAGAAGGAGAAGAGAGAAAGGGACAGAAAACTTAATGAATAATGGCTGAAGAGTTCCCTAACCTGGGGAAGGAAAGACCTCCAGATCCAGGAGGGCCGGAGAGTACCAAATAAGATGAACTCAGACCCACACCAAGACACATTATATTATAATCAAAGTGTCAGACAGTTGAAGACAGGGAATCTGAAAAGTAGCAAGAGAAAAACAACTTGTTACATACAAGGGAATCCCCATAATATTATTAGCAGATTTTTTCAGCAGAAACTTTGCAAGCCAGAACGGAGTAGCACAGTATATTCAAAGTGCTGAAAGAAAGAACCACCAACCGATAATATCTGGCAAAGCTGTCCTTCAGAATTGAAAGAGAAAGGATTTTCTAGACAAGCAAAAATTAAGGAGTTCATCGCCACTAGACCAGCCTTACAAGGAAGGTTAAAGGAACTTCTTTAGGCTGAAATGAAAGGGTACTAATTAGTAACACAAAAACTCACTGGTAAAGGTAAATCTTTAATAAAATTCAAAAGAGTCTAATGTAAAGATAGTGGTTAATCACTTACAAAACTATTATGAAGGTTAAAAGACAAAGTAGCAAAAATAACTATAACTACAATATTTGTTAATGGATACACAAGATAACAAGATGTAAAATATGGGCAGGAGGGAGTAAACATGCAAAGGTTTAGAATGCAATCATATTATAAACTTAAAATAGACTGTTACAGTTTTATGTAAGTGTCAAGGTAACCACAAAGCAAAAACCTATACATAAAACAAGATGAAGGAATCTGAGCATACCACTATAGAAAACCAACAGATCGCAAAGGAAGAGAACAACAAAGGAATTACAAACCAGCCCAAAAGCAATTATCAAAATGGCAGTAAGTACATACCTATCAGTAATTACTTTAAATGTAAATGGACTAAACTCTCCAATAAAAAGACAAGAGTGGCTGGATCAATTAAAAAAATAAATAAACCGTAAGACCCATCTATGTATGTTTCCTGCAGGAGACTCACTTCAGATACTAGGACACACACAGACTGAAAGTGAAGAGGTGGAAAAGATATTCCATGCAAATGGAAACCAAAAGAAAGCTGGGATAGCTATACTTATATCAGACAAAACAGACTTTAAGACAAAGACTAATAAGAAACAAGGTTATTATAGAATTATGAAGGAGTCAATCCAACAAAATGATCTAACATAGGAGTACTTAACTATATAAAGCAAATATTAACAGACCTAAAGGGGAAAATAGCAATATAATAACAGTAAGGGGCTTTAATATATCACTTTAACCAATGGATAGGTCATCCAGACAGAAAATGGTACTTAACATATACAGAGCAGTCCATCCCACAGCAGCAGAATACACATTTGCTTCAAGTGCACATGGAACAAATTTACAAAGCCTGGGGTGCCTGCGTGGCTCACTTGGTTAAGCGTCTGCCTTCAGCTCAGGTCATGATCCCAGGGTCCTGGGATTGAGCCCCACGTCAGACTCCCTGCTCAGCCGGAAGCCTCTTCTCCCTCTCCTTCTGCCTGCTGCTCTGCCTACTTGTGCTCATGATCTGTCAAATAAATAAATCTTATCAACTATCTTTTCCAACCTCGGTGGAATAAAACTAGAAATCAATTACTAGAAGAAAATTGGAAAATTCACAAATATTCAGAGATGAAACAACATGCTACTGCACAACCAGTAGGTCAAAAGAGAAATCAAAATCTTGAAATGAATGAAATGAAAATACAACATACCAAAACTTATGGGATGCAACAAAAGCAGTTCTAAGAAATTCAGAGGGATAAATGCCTACAATTAAACAGAGATCTTATAGAATTGTTGAATCACTATATTGTACACCTGAATCTAATATAACGCTGTTAACTACACTGGAATTAAAATTTAAAAAAAAAAATCTCAACCTAACTTTACACCTCAATGAACTAAAAAAAGAACAAAATAAGCCCAAAGTTAGGAGAAGGAAGAAACAAAGAACAGTAATAAATGAAATAGAAACTAAAAAGACAATAGGAAAAAAAAAACTGAGCTGGTTATCTGAAAAGATAAACCTTTAGCTAGACTCACCAAGAAAAAAAGAGCAAGAACTCAAAATCAGAAATGAAAGAGATGTTGCAACTGATACCACAGAAATGCAAAGGATCATAAAAGACTAAATAATTATACACCAAAAAAGTGGACAACCTAGATGATAGTTAAATCCACAGAAGCATACACCTACCAAGACTGAATCATGAAAAAAAAAATCTGAACAGACCTTTTACCAGTAAGGAGATTTTTGGATTGTTTTTGATTACTAATTCAAATAAAAGTCCAAGACTAGATGGCTTCATTGGTGAATTTTACCATTTAAAGAAGAATTAATACCAGTCCTCAAACTCTTCCAAAAAACAGAAAAGAACGCTCTCAAACTCACTTTACAAGGCCAGCATTACCCTGATAGCAAAACCATGACATTACAAGAAAATTACAAGCCAATATCCCTGATGAACATAGATGCAAAAATCCTCCAACAAAGTATTAGCAAATCAACTTCAACAATACATTAAAAGGACCTTCCTTGATCTAGTGGGATTTATTCCATGGATGCAAGGATGGCTTGACATCTGCAAAATCAGCGTAATATACCACATTAACAAAATGAAAGATAAAAATAATATGATCATCCCAATAGATGCAGAAAAAACCATTTAACAAAATTTAACATCCATTTATAAAAATTAAACAAGAAAAAATCTTGAACTATGTTAACTAGATATATTGTGATCATTTCACAAATATATCAAATCATTATGTTGTACATCTGAAACTAATGCTATATGACAATTATATCTCAATTTTTTGCGAAGGTTCACCTTCCCTTAAATACTTTATTATTACTATTATTATCATCATCCAAACAGCTTAATAAATATTGGACATATTTTTCTTAAATAACTACAAGAATTTTTTTTCATATGTCAGAAAATGTAGTGTTAACATAAAGTGTTCTTTTTGTCTTGCAGGTATAAAGGGTCAAGTTTTTGATCAGAATGGGAATCCATTACCCAATGTAATTGTAGAAGTCCAAGACAGAAAACATATCTGCCCTTATAGAACCAACAAATTTGGAGAGTATTATCTTCTTCTCCTGCCTGGGTCCTATGTAATAAATGTAAGTATACAGCCCTCGTTATGGTTATTAAAACATTTTAGAACTTGCAGTAGTTACCCAGAAGGAATCCGAAATAAGTGTGGAAAGTCCCAAAAGTAGATACATCAGGAAAGAAGGAAAGGTCATCATCAGACTTGCATTTGGCAGGGAGTGGGAGAGGTGGGAATAATAGGAACATACCAAACAAATCATGTTTTTTCCCAACTGGCAATGTTTTTAATAGAAGCCAAAACCTATTTCTTGCAACATGTTCTATGATAAAAGATGGAATGAACCTTATTATTAATAAGAATAATTAAACAATGTAGTCAAAGTACTTCCAAGCTTCATGGAATACCATTTCAACGCCCATTTCACGAGACATAATTTCTGCTATTAAAAAATGGACTGGGGGACACAAGTTCCTTAGAATTCATTATAAATAAAATTTGATCCATAAATTTTACTATATAAAGCTAGTAATAGACATATTTTGCAGCCCTTCCATAAGCAAATGATGGTGAGTTCCAATCAATGCATGTAAAGTTTCAGGTTTAATTCTATGAAGATGTTTGAGTCATTTATTCCTAGAGGGAGGCTTGGACTAGTTTGAGCCCAAACAGATGTATGTGAATGAACTAAATGAAAAAGTACCTGATTTAGTTGGCCAGATTGTGCCTCTTCCTCCTTGATAAGGACTTTCTCTAACTCTCAAGATTCTTCTGCTTTGCTTAGTGGGTCTGATGCCAGCTACAAGCAGTCATTCTGTATAGAGCGACTCCTGGGAAAAGGTGGTCATCTACTCAGTAGTAAAAACTGGCTTTGCATTGTTATATCCTAAAGGTGAAATAATGAAAGGCATGTTTTTCAGTTCATAAAACTGTAGGATTCAGAGCTTCTCTGTTCCATAGGTTATTCCCACAGAGCCCAGCAGGGGGCCCATCAACTGCTAATCTTCTTAAGAATCGCTCCTAGAACTGGAAAGACCTCAATTCACTGTGAATTTTTGCCTAAAAAGGCCCTTTATTTTCCTGTTACAGTGACATTTCCATTCCATGAAAAAATGTGTGTGTGTGTGTGGGGGGGGGTCTTTGTAATGAATCTAAATTATTTTTATGTAATGCCAAAAATAAGGCACACCTTTATAAAGTTAAGAATTGTTCATTTCCTTTTAGACTACCGTAGTACCTGTTGGCTTTAGCCTCTAGTTCTAGGACAAGGTTGGAAGGCAAGACTTTGGAAGCTGAAATGAATGACTAAATGATTTTCCCCCATTATTTTCCTTCTCCATATATTTCTATATTATTTCTATTTCTCAGGGGCGCCTGGGTGGCTTAGTTGGTTAAGCGTCTGCCTTCAGCTAAGGTCATGATCCCGGGCTCCTGCGATTGAGCCCCCATGTTGGGCTCCCTGATCAATGGAGACCCTACTTCTCCCTCTCCCTCCGCAACCCCCAACCCCGCACTGGTGCCACTCACGCTTGCTCGCGTTCTGTCAAATAAATAAAATCTTTTTTTAAAAAAAGTATTTCTCAGTGGACATCATCTGTAGTTAGTTTAGCATTTGTCCTATTTTTCCTGATTTCTTCCACCAAAATCAACCAATGAATCAGTCAGTCAATAAATCTAGCTTAAGATTCAGACTCAGAGGGAAAGCCAGGTAAAATCAAAGCCTTTTGAGGAAGCAGTAAACTTGTACACTTGGATCAGCTGCAAGGAAAATGGAATAAATTGAGAACAGAATTCCACTTATAAATACTCTTGATACCCAATCAGGATATTAAGTACAGACTTGGAACAAAGGAAAACAGTCAATTCTTTACCTTTGTTCTCCAAAAAATGATGGGGAGAGAATCAGTCTATGGCTTCCTTTTCCTAGGATACATCTCCAGATAAGGGACCTGTCTTTATTTCACTTCATAACTCTGGGCAACAGGCATTGGACAACTCATTCAGTGAGTCAGCCTGAAGCTGTTACTAGCCTGGGAGGCCTGGCTGCTGGTTATGTGTGTTTCATAAAGGCCACATTTTAGTGGTGGATGTCAGTGTTTTTAGTGTTGGCACCACGAAACATCTGAAATCACTCTCAGATGATTGTTTTTTGTTTCCTCTCAGGTTACGGTCCCTGGACACGATCCATACCTCACAAAGGTGGTTATTCCAGAAAAACCCCAGAACTTCAGTGCTCTTAAAAAGGATATTTTACTTCCCTTCAGAGGACAACTGGATTCTATCCCAGTATCAAATCCTTCATGTCCTCAGATTCCTCTCTATGGTGATTTGCCAAGCCACTCAGCTGCAACAAAGCCTGGTCTGTTCTTATTTTTAGTGACTGTCTTTCACATATTTGTCAAATAAAGCAAAATGTGAAACACAACCCCCATCATCACCTGGAATCAGGGATTACTCACGCCAGGTTACTGCAACTCTTTTAACTCCCTCTGTGGGACCTTGACTCAAGAAACACCATGGTCCTTTCCTAAGAAGAGAAATGGTTGTTTTCAAACCACAACAAGCAATGTGTGGTGATAACAAAGGAATGATTTAATCGTGATGAATGGAAGAAACCTACCTTTCAGGTACTGTCCACTTAACACTTAACCTTGAAGTTGTCTTAGAAATTTAACTTGAGAATCAAGAAAGAAGTTCCTGCAAGAAAAAAACAGAGCAAATTTTGTATACAGAGAGCCAGATGAATATAAGCCATAAAGATGAATATTCACTGATTACCTACTATCTACAAAACCTGGCCATGAGTGCTGTATGTGAAGATATAGTAAGTGCCATATGTAATTACTTCTCAGCACAGGGAGAAAGGATAGGACTAGGAATATTTCATGTCACAGATGTTCTAAGGAAATAGGAGTGGAGAGAGGCAATCGTGTCTCAGTGGCCCAAGAAAAACAATATGGGCCTGGTGGGATGACAAGGTTCTAGATACAGAGCCCCAAAACAGGTCAGTTAACCTTTCTGCACTCAGATGCCAGTTCTGTTATGCTGAGGACCTCCAAATGTGTAACTCTAGCAGCTTGCCTGAGCGTCAGACTCAAGTCCAACTTCCCACTGTACATATCCACCTGGATGTGACCCACTGGTACCTCAAACTCATGTTGAAATGGAACGTATTTTTCTCCCTGGAGCTGCTCTTCCCCCTGTACTGTCTCTGGTACCAGCAAACTAGAAACCCAAGAGCCATCCTTGATGCTTTCTCCTCCTCCCTCAGCCCGTATATTCAGTCAGTCACTAAAGATTGATGTGAATTATAATTGTTGGTTGATTCTCCCTGTGTGTGTGGCTGGTAACATTGTCAGTTTAGGCCATCATGACTCACTGGCCCCACTGCAGCAGTCTTACTGGTCTCTTGCACCCAGCCTTCTCCTCTTCAAATCCATCTTCACACAGCACTGGGGAGGACGGTCTACTCAACAAGCAACAACAATCAACTTGCTTATGGTTCCTGTACACTTAATGCACGGTTTGTGTCCCGTATCTGAATACCATTCTGACCCACCACTACGTTTTCTTTCCCACTCCTTTAAAACTCAGTTCCGGTGTCAACTCCTCCAGGAAGCCTTTGCTGACCTTCATCCCTCCCATTCCACTCCCTCCCAGTCAATCTGGGGACCTTCCCTCTTTGGTACTCAAATTAAATGGGTTACCTCTATTATGAATTTACAACTGTATTATAATCTTCTACTTTCATGTGTGATTTTCCCTAATAGAATGTGAGCTTTGAGGCCAGGGTCTATTTAATTAGTTTGAAAAATACATTTTTTTTTATCTTCAGAGCCCAGTACTTAGTAGAAACTGAACGAATGAGTGAACAAAGAGTTCTATGAACCTACTACACCCAATCTCTCCCAGAAACTGTGTTGGGCTTTGAGTCATTTTGTCAAATGAAGTCCTATGCTTTGGCAATCTCTAGCTCAGTAGCAACACTCAGAAGAGTTTTCAAATACATATCAAGAAGTAAATTCAAATATGGTGTTTTTATTGTGCTTTGCATTTATCCTAAGGTTCATAGTAAATTATGTTACCTCTTAACAACACAAACTACCTATTAGAAAACAAAATTTTTACCATTAGTACTCAATTGAAACAACTGTTCTCCACTATCATAGTTAACCTATCTTAAAACATTTTATATAAGAATTAAGGGGGAAACAAACCAAAAAAGAGCAACTCCTAAGCAGATTTCTAAGTGCTATATATTGCTCATGGAATGTGAGTTGCCTTGGTTCTTTAAACTGAAAGTTCTCTAGGATCTGAAAACAAAGCTATGCGGTGGTTGGTATGTGATGAATGCGTGAGAACCACAAATGAGTGGGAGATACCTGGGCACTCAGGAGCTATTCCTGTGCCAATCATACTTGTTCATCTAAACAGAATTTGTAGTCTTTTTATGTCTTATAAAATCTGGTAATAACTTGAATATCTGGATCATTTTTATTTAAATAAACAGTAATTTATTATGTACTTGAAAGTATGTATCAATATTACAGAAATGATTTCGGTATGCTACAAAGCACATAAACTCGATTTACCATCAAGCCTTATTTTTCAGTCAGACATTCTGAGTCCTAACTTTTCTAAGATACCAATTTTCAAAGGGACATGAGCCAAAATCTGAACTGGTTCAGCCTTAATGTAAACTCCTTAAGGAAATAATGTTTTTTAAAATCAGAAATTTTATCAAACTTAAAATCATTTAGAGACAAGTAAACTCCTTAAGGAAATAATGTTTTTAAAATCAGAAATTTTATCAAACCTAAAATCATTTAGAGACAAGTAAAGCAATCTCCAAACCAAATCTAAACCAAACCTGAATTTAATACAGAGCACGTTCAGGGTACATATTTTGCAGCAAAGTGCTCAGAAGTAAACTTTGTAGTGAGGGTTTAGTATGATTGAATCTCCACTAACCAAGTTAAGTGTCCAAAGGGAGAAACCACCATGTACTTCCAACCATACTCAGACCAGAGCCCCAAATCTCCGCTCATGACATCTTTCCCACTATCCTCTTACCCTCTTAGACTGGTGGTTATGCTCCTCAGGTCCTAAGTTCAGGTATAATTCCTTTTATGGAGGAAACAACATGGTAAAGGTTTATAAGATAGAGAAAAGAAGATAGAATGCAGGAGTCAAATTTTAATTAGAAGGCAAGAACCCTGAGTTCAAACCCACCCCACATTCAGTTTCCTTACCTGTTAAATGAAGGCCCCTGCTGGACTGATTCTGTGACTATCAAAAGCAGTGGTTTAAGATGCCATTATTTTGATGTCCTTTTTGGTACTTGCCCAGGCAGAGAAAGGATAACTAACACTAGGTGACATAAATATTTTGAAAGCAGAATACACCTTATTAAAGACCAGGTCTTTTGTCTCAGATACAAACAGAATTGACCTGAAAACTGAAACACTGGCTAGGGGAATGAGCATTAATAATAGTTAAGACATCTCCTGAACTAACACAGCTTTTTATGTACCTATCTAAATTATGATAAATGTTAACATGAGTAAATCTAAATGGAAGGGAGTATTTTAGAGAAACGTTAAGTCCCCACAAGTTAAGTGTTAGTTTGATTTTGGTACTTAATTATCACGTTCAGAGCAGAAGTATTAAAAGCCTCTTAGCATTTTTTAAAGTCTAAGAAATCAATGTTGTGTTTCGTTCCCGAAGCGGATTTGCATTTGTAATGTTTTTAAAACGGTTATAAGAAGTTACCTCTAGCTTTAGAAAGTAAAAATATCTGATACTGGATTGGAAATACCTTTCCTAGGGAATCCAGAAAAAATGAGCAGAGCATATTGTCTCATTGCAACAGGGTAAATTGCTTATTAAGAAGTTTGGTTTTTATTCTACAGTGACAATAGTTTATTTTATGACAGATCCTTATATCTTCCTCATGACTTCAGATGGGGGAAAGGGGGAGAAAATGATTATTGAAGAGCCAAAAAAACAAAAACAAAAACAAACCACCTCACAATACCTAAAATAGAAGTTTAGGGAAAGAGTTGAACTTCATTAGAGACTTTACATTCTATCACTAATAAGCAGATACTCTACTGGCCACAAAACATCTTATCCTACTTTAGCATATGAACTACTCCACAGCCTTTTATAGATGTTTCACAGCTGATTTATAAGTTTTCTCAGTGACTTTCTTCTCTACTATAATTAAGAACTTGCACAAATTGTCTAAGACAAAGTTTACTGGGTAGGGGCCATGACTACCTCTGAATTTAGAATATTCTGGGTTTTTTTTTTAAAGATTTTATTATTTATTTGAGAGAGTGTACACGAGCGGGGCGGGGGGGGGAAGGGGGGAGGGTAGACAGAGGGAGAGGGAGAAGCAGGCTCCCTGCTGAGCAGGGAGCCTGATGCAGGGCTCAATCCCAGGACCCCCAGATCACAACCTGAGCTAAAGGCAGACACTTAGCCGACTGAGCCACCCAGGTGCCCCTCCTGATCCTTAATAAGAATATTCATGTAAGCAATGAATACGGTTTCCTTCCATTACCATTACCTTAAAAACAAATATGCAAATGTAACGAAGTCTACATAACTAGACAGAACTGATTACCACCAAATAAAGCCTGGACAAGACCAAATTTAATTATCATTTTATGAGGCAATAATATTGCAACAACTCTTCAAAACCCAGTCACTCCAGGACAGTTATGATAAATACCCATGCTATTATATATGTTATATCCTAAATCACTTTGTACCATGGGGCAGATGATGGATGAAAAATGTGCCTTCTGATTAAAAAAAAAAAAAACCTGCAAACTTCAGAATGCACATTAATGTAGTAAAGGCTTTGAGAAATCATGCAGGAAAGGAATGCATTTTCCAAACATAAGCCAGAGAACTATTTCCTTAAATAGTTTAGCCTAGTACCATCCCTCTGAACTTACATTCCTTGATTACCAAATACATTTTGGAAAATGCTGGTACAGGGAGAAGTCTTTTGTCCCAAGTAATAAATTTTGTGGATTTCAAAGTGTGAAACACAGAACGTAGTTATAAACCAAGATTTGCCTTCTGTAAGAACTGGAAAATTAATAACCCTTAACCCTCATCACTGTAACAACCCCTGATGTCAAATTTCCAGCAAAGGACAGACTCAAGGTTGCCCTCTGAAACACGTATACAACAGTTTAAATGAGACACGGCTGAGTACAAAATGGCTAATTTAGAGGTACCGATTTCTAAAAAATGACGAATATCTCAACTTAGTAAGTGGGAAAGGTTTTCTATTTTCAAGAGAACTCATTATATGTAGGACCCCCTTTGGCAGAAGTTTGATGGAACATTTTAGCTAGACTTCAATATTTGCAGTTCTTTAGAGGGTCCATTACTCCCCACTCCCCCAAAAAGGTAGTTTTAAAATGAACTAAATTTTAAAATATTAGAATAGGGAAAAGAAGTAAAGCAAGTAATTAGTCCATTTTTTTGGATGACAGAATTATGTGTTTTTTTTTCCGACTTCATTTTTTAAAAAGTTTTCTATTTCTATTTTTTATAATGAAAGAAAGCAAATGATTTAAAGATTGGAACCTCAAATTTTAGAGGTACCAGTTTACACAGGTAATTGCTACACCTTAACACATTCATTAAACATTTCCCAGAGTTTATGCTGAAATAACACTTATTTAACTTAAGTCAAAGTTAATTTAAAAATTGTTTTCCCTTATGGACCACGGACATGAAGTTTTGAAGGATGAATAATGAAGGATTTCTGGACCAAGATGGGAAGTTTGTGTTTAAACAAGCAAGAGCAGAACTCCCATCACATCTTTGCTCTCTAGCCCAGCAAGCTCTCCCGGGGGGAGTGTTCTGTCCCATTAGAGGTCTACCTACCATTAAAGGATGCCTGCAGAGAACTCCCAGAGTAGTGCTTCCACCTTGTGGTTAGAAAAGTCTTTAACTAAAGAGATTTGGTCTTCTCACTTGCCTCTTAAAAAAGAACAAAATAAATGTGAGAAAAGGTGGAAAAACTTAATACAGAGGGATGTTTTAAGAAAGCTTTACCAATTGTTACAATCCTGATAGCATATCAACTTTTGAAAAACCACTGTTTTGTTAGAATGTTTCTCTTTTGCCTTTGAAGTAATTTTTGCAATTATTGCAATATTACAGACTCTTTTTTCTGGATATTTTTTTAAAACTGTCTTTTCCTCTTATAAATTTGAGAAAACTACATAGCTGTTTTCTTTGACAATCATCCTTTACTGAATGCCTACTGTCCACACAATGCATTATATTAGGCACCTGGGGGGGGGAGGAGATACAAATGGATGTTAGAACCTGCTTTTGGAGAGAAGATCCAAAGCAACATATAAATAAATTTAAGTGTGAACAAAGTACCTCAGAACTGAGACAGTGTAGAAGGGAAAAAAGGTTAATTCAAGGCTAATTCAGCTGCGTTTTGGAGTGGTAATGGTCATAAATGGATACAACAAAAGTATTAAAAGCTACCATTTATAAGTCTTTACTACCTGCCAGACCCTGTCATATGTAGGCTCTATAGATTTGTCTCTAATTCTAAGGTCACAAAGGGCCAGATCTGCTATTTGAATTTAGCCCTTCCCACTCCATTAGAATAAAAATAACTCACGAGAGAGGATACAAATGAACTTTGTTGCAACCAAAGGGTTTAAGAGTACAATGGTGAAAACAAAGTAGCTGTTTCTAGAGAAGTCTAAATGTCTAAAATGAACACCCAGAACATTTGCAATAATATTCAATAAGAAATAGAATTATTGAAGTTTTTTCTGTATTTAAATCGGGGAACCAACATGAAGCTATCTGTAAATTATCTATAAATGAACCAAAAATGGGAGAGACCAAAGGCAGTGAGGTCAATTTAGGTAGGTTTTACTGTGATCTTGGGAAAAGGCCTAATACAGGGTGTGACCTGGAAAGATGTGAACCAAAATTAACACATAATAGTACTATAATTTAACTGAGAAATGTTTAAATGGAATTCATCTAACATGACAGTAACAAAGATGAGGGAAAAAAGACAAATTTTGCAATTTGGAATGTGAAAGATACTACTGTAATAAGTTGACTTTCTTAGTAGGACATCTAAATATATTTTCAAGCAGATCTGTGGGACTGAAACAGGATGAAAGGAAAATGTCTATCAATTTTTTTTTAAGATTTATTAGAGCACGAGCAAGCGGGGGTGGGGGGGCGGGGCAGGGGCAGAAGGAGAAGCAGACTCCCCGCTGAGCAGGGAGCCCCGTATATATAGGGCTCAATCCCAGGAGGCCGGGATCATGACCTGAGCCAAAGGCAACCACTTAACCGACTGAGCCACCAGGTGCTCCAATGTCCCTAATTTTTAAAAACATGAATCTTTAAAGAGCTTTAAAAGAGAACAAAAATTTATGTTTTAGGATCATCTCTCTCCTAAAAAAAATCAATTACGGTCTTCTTATCCAAAATGTAATTCTAACAATTTTAGTACATCACTTCAAATGTATTACCTATAATAAATTACTGAACATGTGGGGAGTCTCCCATCTGCTTGCACTTGAGACTACTCGTTTGTTCTGTTGCTTTTTATTAGTTCCTGTTAACAGTCCATTTTATAATTGAACATATTTAACACTTCTGAGCACCTTATGCGCTGCTGCTTTAATATATTTATCTTTTTAGGGGCGCCTGGGCGGCTCAATCGTTAAGCATCTGCCTTCGGCTCAGGTCATGATCCTGGGGTCCTGGGATCGAGCCCCACATTGGGCTCTCTGCTCTGGGGAAACCTGCTTCTCCCTCTCCCACTCTCCCTGCTTGTGTTCCCTCTCTCGCTGTGTCTGTCAAAATAAATAAATAAAATCTTTAAAAAAAAACTTATTTTTAAAGCAGTACTTGTAAATGTCAATAATTCCCTACCATATATAAGGGAAGGCTTGCTCTGTATGATAGACAATATGGCCACAAACTTTTAAACGGTATTTTTTTAAGCTGAAGAAACACTTTCTGTAAAGATGAAATCAAACTCCAGTACAAAATCCAAACAGCGAGCAAGTGCAACTACGAACTTTCCACGATGCCATGACAACTTGCAGTTACCACCCTAAACTAACAGAGGTCTACACACTACACGCTCATCAGTACCTTTAAAACCTTCATTAAAAATGAAGGTGAACAAAATGATACCAACAGCTAACTCTAGTCTGACTTTGGAGCCTACAGACTCCTGCTTTGAAGTCAGCTTCAAGACAGGTCCGAATGCTTTGAGATTCACTCAATAAATTCTTATTGATCACCTATATATAGGTGTCACAATCAATTGGCCTCATGGAATTTAGCTTCAGGGATGATGCAGAGAAATTACAGAAAATTACAACAGGGCTTTTCATGCTGACAAGTAGCAGGGTGGTTAGTCCTAGCTCCCCTCCCTGCCCCAGCTACATCCCTTCAAGAACATTCACCATCATTTGTTGAGAAACCACTTAAGCCAAGCTGCCATGTGATAACACAAGTGAACAGGAAGGAGAAAACAGCATTTCATGGCCCTACTAAGTAAATTTGTAACATCATTCTCTCAGCTGAGTCTTACTCGATGCCTTGCAGGCTCCCTGCTGCATCCAGCTGTCCATTCATAGGTGTACTGTCACAGTGGGCAGCCTTGGCCGTTCCAAAATAGAAGCACATTCATACCTGCACCTTTGATTACCCAAGTAGATGATATTCAAGTATAATTTCTATTTTAACAGAACTCATTATTATAAAAGTTTATAAAATCCAATAATCATTCTAGAAACAATTCTTATTCATTTAATATTTTTATTTGTAAATCAATAAATAAGTATACTAAACCTAAAAATTTAGACAATTTAATGAATAAGCATGGTGAATGAAACTGTCTGCAGATCTGAATGTTTTGTAAGTAGCATAATTACTGCATACCATAACCTGAATGCACATAACTTATATTTAAATGTTATATTTTTTAAAATCAGGTACTTCTCTAAATTTTAAGGAAGTGAAAATCATTTAAAATATGAGGAGTAAGGGGTTAAGATGAGCTATATGTCCAATTTTAATTACATTAAAACCCAAATATAAACAAAAGTGAAATTTTTCTAAAAGAAGTATTTACTATCGCCCCTCCCAGAGTAGGTGAATTACACTACAGAGAAGAAATCTACATGTACAGATAATTTCTTCCTTTGATATGTGTAAAAAAATATTTTTATGTTGTCTAAATTTTTAGGGTTATATAGTTACAAATATAGAACTCTACTTTTATAGACATGTCCACTAGGGGAAATAAGTTAGCACAATCATTTGAATTGGTTGTCTACATACTGGACAGGGCTTATTCCTTTTCTTTAGCTTCTTTGCACACGTAAAGCATGCCATAAGATGTCCCGTTTTGCCATGAACAATGCAACCATTTTTAGGTCGACCTTGGCAAATCACACAAGGTTCAATGGCATTAAGGGGAAAACTAGATTCCACAATTTCTTCTTTGTCTTGTGTTTCTTCCCTCTCAAACTCTTTGACATCTTCTTGGCTGCTATAAATGATGCTGTTAGAAGTTGATGGCTGGGAATAGTCCTCACTTTCTTGGGATTGGGAGGCTTGTGTGATTTTATCATCATTTTCCTCAGCACATGAATCTCTGGAATCATTCACTGCAGTTTTTTTACAATCAGGGACATCAAAGCCCTCTTCTACTTGTGTTGAGTTTTCTAGTTTGGCTTTCTCAGGCATTTTCCCTTTTTCTTCAGGAAGCCAGTTCTCACGGAGGGCCCAACATCTGTTGCAATGAGGTGGAAGAGGAGGATTCATTTCATTGCACGAAGCACACTTCCAATAGTCCTTCAATGAAAAAAGACAGAGTGAGTTTCTGGAACCCTTTAACACAACTAGTCATAGCCAACACTAGCAACTTCAGTATGTCTGAGGTAAAATCTATCACATAGTTCAATTCTCAGCATTTCATGTTTTATATAAAATATCTGACATGTAACAATCTTTCCTCAAGCATGAGATTATAAAGTACATAACTTTTTCAGCCAAACCATGCTAAAGAACTCTAAAACAAAAAATGTATTCACCGTGATCTTAACCATGTCCCAATAAAGTTATCTGTTTAAGGACAAAGCTGGTTCATTTAGTTGAAGCAAGGGTGATATAGCCTTTTATTCTAAAATGAGGCCTATACTCACTTCACTCCCTTAAAGGTTCAATCTTGGATGCTGTGCCCAATGTCCACCCAATCAATCTAGATGAAGCTACCGCCCAATGCGCCATTGACTAAGACTGCCTCAGAAGTGCTCTAAAACCTGGGCTCAACTGAGTGTTCCCTAACTTCATACACAAAGGAAACACTAAAACATTCTTCTCAGCAATCACTGCCAGCTAAAATCTGTCATCCTTGTCATTACCCAAAATGTATGCCCCTTACTTACCTCTAGTTTCCTGTGTCCTCATCTCTATAAGTGCTTATTGCTTCTCCCATACCTCAACTTACTTCCCAAACCTTTCCAATGTGAATAATAAACTCCCTTACCATCCCAGCCTCTTTAACAAACATGTCCCTATCCCCCTATCTTAACTGAAGCATGGTTCTTGCCTGAGGACAATGTCCATGTAAAACCTGCCATGAATAACCATTTTCAATTTGCCTCACAAATAACCTAAGAAATTAGCAGTATAAGGATGGAGACGACTTCATTCTCCCACATTAGTTCTTTCAAGTTCTCAACTACCCAACTGATAAAACCAAAGACAAAAGTTCTACAATATGGGAAAGAAAGTGCTTCAAAGAGCCCAATAAATTGCAGGATCTTTGGCATCAAATGAGTCAACTAGTTACTTGAATTATTTTCTAATACAGCATAAGTTTTTTTTTTGAAAATCTTACAATTTCATCTTTTTTGCATTTGGATAATAACTTTTAAACTAGCAAAGAAAAACGAGATTTCCCAAATTAAAAGCAATATTAAGAACAAAAATTAAAGCATTAATATTCAGTTAAAAAAACACAACTTCCAATACCTCAGGAACCCCATGAAGCATGAAATGTAAATATTTTTAAGTCCTGAATTCTTTTATTATTATTTTTTAGAGAGGGAGAGAGAGAATTTTAAGCAGGCTCCACGGTGGGCGTAGGGTCGATGCAGGGATCCACCTCAACAACACTGAGATCACAACCTGAGCCGAAATCAAGAGTTGGACTGACTGAGCCACCCAGGCACCCCTTAGTCCTGAATTCTTTTTTTTTTTAAGATTTTGTTTTATTTGAGAGAGAGCAAGCATACATGTGACCAGGATAGGGGGGAAGAGCAGAGGGAGAAGGACAAGCAGATTCCCCCCTGAGCGCTGAGCCTGATGTGGGGTTCAACCTCAAAACCCTAGAGATCATGACCTGAGCCGAAATCAAGAGTTGGGACACTCAACTGACTGAGTCCCCCAGGCACCCCAGTCCTGAATTCTTAAATGGCAAATCCTACCTACCACATTCTCTAGTAATAAACAAGATTGGCAAAATGTTGATAACTGTTAAAGCTGGGTGATAAATACACCAGAAATACATACTACTACTCTCTATGCTGTACATACTTGAAATTTTCGATAAAAAAATTTTCAAAGTTCAAATCCCAACACACACACCAAAAAAACCCTAAAAAATTCAGTAACAGGGGTGCCTGGGTGGCTCAGTCGGTTAAGCATTTGCCTTCGGCGCAGGTCATGATCCCAGGGTCCTGGGATCGAGCCCCGCATCAGGCTCTCTGCTCAGTGGGGAGCGTGCATGTCCCTCTCCCTCTGCTGTTCCCCCTGCTTGTACTCGCTCTCTGTCAAATAAATAAATAAAATCTTAAAAAAAGAAAAACTCAGTAACAGATTCTGACACAACAAATAAAAGAACAAAAACGCTTTAAAACTTTTCTAAACAGATTTTAATTTTATAGAAAGTACTTCATTTTGGGAAGCAGACTAGCTGTATTTTTCTAACCTTAACCTCTATGTTTTCTTAATTCCTTAAAAAAGCAGATGTATACTTACAGCTAAGGAAATTTCAGGATCTTCTTCAAATGAATCTGTATCACTCTCCCCTGCCTGATACACAGTTACTCGATATACCTAATAAAATAAATTCATTAGCATCAATTCATCACCTTTTTTCCTTAACCAGGAAAGCTTCTTCGTGATAAGTCCTAAACGAAAAGCATGTACTACTATATATGAGAAATTCTGAGACAAAGGTCAAATGGAATAAGTGAGTATAAAGGGGGAAAAGTGGAGGACCATGAAATCCTGACCCACTATGGTTAAAAGGCAATAGACAGGATGTTTAAAATGAGTACAGCAAAAAATTCAGTATAAGCATTTTTATTTTATAAATATGGAGATATTAAGTAACTGTGAAATAGCAATGTTGAAGGTAGTCACCTCCAGTGACTTTAACTGTGTGCATACTTTACTTTTGTAAAAAGTAAATAAATAATAAAAGGGGAATTTTTTTAAATTTATTTTTTAAAGTAAACTCTACCCCCCCAATGTGGGGCTTGAACGCATGACCCCAGGATCAAGAGTGGCATGCTCCACCTACTGAGCCAGCCAGGCTCCCCAAAGGGGAATTTTTTAAAAAAATAAGACTATTATAAGAATGTTCATTAAGGAGTATTGACTTTTTGACATTTACAGTTACAGGAATATAAATCAGACAACAAGGAACTACAAAAAGCCTCAAGTCCACATAACAATATTCTAGTTCAAACAAATCAAAAGTCAAAGAGTAAGTGAAATCAGAATACATTATTTCAATTGTCATCAATACAGAAAATATTAAAGATCTTTAGACTTTAATTAGAGAAATAAAACTACCTCATCATCTTCATCTGAGAGTTCTTGTCCTTCTTCACTAAGACTATAATCTTCTGAATCGAGAGACTCAACTTCAAATTCTACACTGAATTGATCTGAAACTGAATCCTGATCCAACCAATCACCTGAATGTTCACTTACACCAGCATCAAGATCCTAAGATCAGGGGGGAGAAAAAAAAAGTTAAAGTACATTACCTGTTGCCTCTGTAACAGCTTCCTAGCTCATCCCTGCAGTCATATTTACTTCTTAGATCCCCCCTGCACAATGACACTAGATTAAGATTCTGGGTTATTACTACATTAATATTATTTACCCTGTTCAAAATCCCATTAAAGGAAAAAGGCTAAATCCCCTTGACATTCAAGGTTCACATAGGACCGTATTAACATTTTCATCTTCTTTCCAACTAGACACCCCACCCGACCCCCCAAATATGAAAAATCAACCAGATCTACATTTTTTTCCCTCAACCAAACTTGGCACTTCAACTTCCACATTTTACCTCTCTCGCTGGAATAACTTCAGTTTTTAAGTCCCACTCATCCTTTTTTGCTAAAGCTTCTGTCAATACCAAAACCAAGAGAGCACTTCCACTTTTAATTATCTTTACTACTTACATATTAAATATATTTTATATATAAGTACATATCAATTACATATTTTTATACATAAATTATACACAATTTTGCATACATGAGTCTCAGATATCTGAGTTATACACACTTTAAGAGTTAAAGAGTTAAAAACATGTTTTAATCTCTTCATATCTTCAGACTAGTAGAATGCTAGTAGCTCCAACCCACAAATTATGAGATTTATTTTTTTTAAAAGATTTTGAGAGAGAGAAAGAAGGAGCAGGGGGGAGGGGCAGAGGGAGAGGGAGAAGCAGACTCCCGCTGAGCAGGAAGCCTGAGCCAAAGGCAGACGCTTAACCCACTGAGCCACCCAGGTGCCCCATGAGATCTATTTTTTAGTGAACTTTGAGAATAATTTCTTTGGAAGAGCTTTCAGACATAATTTTTTTACATTTATTTTTAAAATTCTGTATCAGCTCATGTGGTTCTTCATTTTATAGTGTAAGAACCCTAATAAGACCATTAATCCCATAATTATTTGCTGTCAGTGGCTAAGAGGAACATATCCAAAGTCGAAAGCTAGAACTAGAAAAAGTACATTGGTCTAAGAATCAAGATACAAACGTTCTAGTTCTAGATTTGTCATTAAGGAGCTATTTAACCTTGGACATATTTAACCTGTAAAGACCACAGCTACCTCATCTATAAGAGGAGTTTGGATTAAATGATTATTATTTCTATTATCTATAAAAACAAAGTATTTTATAAATACTGAGGTCAAACAACTGTTCTTTTAGTGATGTCAGGAAAGCAGTAGTAAAAGCAAAATTGACAAGCTGCAGTTCTAATTCTTAACAAGGACTCTTAACAGGTTAATATTACACATCAAGCTAGAATACAATCTCTAATAAAGTAACCTAATAAACTGGATACTTCAATTAACTAGCATTTAATGCACTAAGTTTAGAATATGGGGATAAATCACAAGACAGATTGAAGTCTCAGCAAGTATCTTCGATGGTACAGGTTGGCAAAGTACGGCCTGCTGCCCATCGACTTTTATAACTCCAGTCTTACTGAGCACAGCCATTTCCTGTTGTCTACAGCTGCTTTAAGCCCGACAGCAGATTGAGTAGCTGCAACAAAGACCACAAGGCCCACAAAGCCCAAAATAAGTTACTAACTGGCCCTTTACAGGAAAAGTTTGCTAACCCCTGTATTCTAGGGTGCTATGAAGAAAGCAAATTAAAAGCTGTTTTTTAAAGTTTTGGCTAATGTTCAAAAAAGAATGACCCAGAAACTTTTACAATATTGTACATGTAAAAAGCATCAGAAAGATCTTAAATTTTGAAGTCAGAAGTCCCTGGTTTTGCCTGAATTCCAACTGTGGCAATTATTATGAGATCTTAAACAAGTTATTTAAAACCCTCAAGCTTATCTTTCCCATCTGTAAATGGAATTTGAGGCTCCTGAGATATCATATAAACTGCCTAGTATAGAGCCTAGAATATAGCCTTTAGTTCCTCAATTTATTAAACCCATAAGAAAGATGGAAGGTAAATGCACTTTTCTTTTTCTCGAGAACCCGTATTTTTTCCCATAGCATTTATTAAATGTATTAATTACCTGTTTCATTGTTGATGATGTGTCTCCCCCTGAGGGCAGGGACCATATCTACCTTGACCACCACTCCACCCCAGTGCCAGACAGAACCTGGCACAGAAAACACCAACAGACCGACTGACTGAAGAACTTGCTCTCCGTGCCATCTAGTGGCCTACAGAAGTAACAGCTCTAGTAAATCCTGTATCCACTAAAATCACTGCTTTGGAAGAGAAAAATGTAAACATAGTATGTGTAAGAAGTAACAATACGGAAAAAGTAAGAATAAGTTTACTATCACAACGGATTCAGTCCCTTACACCTTCTAGGAACTATAAAATGATCACTAATATCCAGAATGACGACCATGAGATACTGCCATATCACAAATAAAAGTTCTATTTTTAATAGTATTTTAAAGATAAATGTTTAATGACAAGAAAGGTAATATTCCATTTGTCAGGTATTCTTGTTAGCAAAAACCTTTTTTTTTTTAACCAAACTTCTTTCAATGACATCTTTTTTTTTTTAAAGATTTTATTTATTTGACAGAGAGAGATACAGCGAGAGAGGGAACACAAGCAGCGGGAGTGGGAGAGGGAGAAGCAGGCTTCCCACTGAGCAGAGAGCCCGATGCGGGGCTCGATCCCAGGACCCTGGGATCATGATCTGAGCCGAAGGCAGACGCTTAATGACTGAGCCACCCAGGCGCCCCTTCAATGACATCTCTTAAGAGTTTTACTCCTAATGCTTTGGGATTTTGTATCAATAATCAAAAAGTACTAAAACTCTCCCACCATCCATGCAGTAACATACCTATATTCCACAGCCTTAGTATGGAGGCTTAGTAGTATCTAGGCCTACGTATGGCAAATGTGTAGCTTAGACTATGCTGACTTACTTAGCTACAATAATAAAGATACTGTTACTCTAAATATTCAAAACAAACCAGCCTTAGAATTCTAAGATATCTAACTGAACCAAATTTGCTTTTCTGTTCCCTTATTTTTTAAAAAGTAAAACAAAAATCCGCAGACCATCCTATACTCCAATTTATCTGAATTTACTATTGGTGCAGTGGCCCACAAAGATTCTCCAATATGTAGGATGACATTAACAACTATTAATATTGGTACTAATTTTACCAACACACCCCACAACTATCTCCCACCCTTCTCTCAAACCTGGGGTTGGGAGTAGAAAAGATTTATATAGTAGTTTTATTTTTATTTCTTTTTAATATTTATTTATTTGACAGAGAAAGAGAGAGCACAGGCGGGGTGAGGGGCAGAGGGAGAAGCAGGCTCCCCACTGAAGGGGATCCCAGGACCCTGGGATATTGACCTGAGCTGAAGGCAGCCACTTAACCAACTGAGCCACTAGTAGTTTTATTTGACAGAAAAATTTAGCACTGTGTATAACAGCAATACCACAGCATATATGTGCATTCTACCCAAATGCTTATTAGGACTTCTAGAACTAGATTTTTTTTTTTTTTAAGATTTTATTTATTTATTCATGAGAGAGAGAGAGAGAGAGGCAGAGGGAGAAGCAGGCTCCCAAGGAGCAGGAAGCCCGATGCAGGACTTGATCCCAGGACCCTGAGATCGTGAGCTGAGCTGAAGGCAGACGCTTAACCATCTGAGCCACCCAGGCGTCCTCTAGAACTAGATTTTAAAAACAAGAGTTTTGGGTTTCTTTTTCTTTGAAGATTTTATTTATTCATTTGACAGAGAGAGAGCACAGACAGGGGGAGCAGCAAGCACAGGAAGAGAGAAGCAGGCTCCCCGCAGAGCAGGGAGCCCCATGCGGGCCTCGATCCCAGGACCCTGGGATCACAACCCGAGCCGAAAACAGACGCTTAACCGACTGAGCCACCCAGGCGCCTCAAGAATCTTGTTTTATTTAAAATGAAAAGATTACCGGATTTGATGGCGTCCCTGTTGATTCACTGCTACTGCTTCTTTCACAACATATCTCCCTTATTACACACAGAGCAAGGCTTTCATCAAAGGAAAGGGAAATACTATCAGATTTGTGGCGCTTTCTCTGCCGTTCACCAGGTAATTCATCTGAATGTTCTTCTGGATACATAAAGAAAGACAAGTCAATTAAAACCCTATACTGTGATTCATGTAGCAAATGAGCTGCCTTGAGTACCTACTTGTACCAAAATTTAATTTCAATGATATTAAGCAGAGAAAATAGTCAATTACTACTGTTTCAAAAGTCAACACTTCTATTGGATCAATCCAACTGAGAGCTATGACAGAACACTGTATTTTTTTTAAGTAAGCATTATACCAAATGTGGGGCCTGAACTCATGAACCCAAGATCAAGAGTCACATGCTCTACTGACTGAGCCAGCCAGGGGCCCCCAGAACACTGCATTTTAAAAAAGCTTTTCAAGCTTCTGGGGTGTGTGGTGGGCTCAGTAGGAGGAGCGTGCGACTTCTGATCTCGGGGTCATGAGTATGAGCCCCACGTTGGGTGTAGAGATAACTGATATACATACGTAAATAAACTTTAAAAAAAAAAAAGGCGTTTTAAGCTTCTTTCAGAACATCATCTACATTAACTCACAATTTAATCCATCTAGAGTTTTCATTAACCAATCAAAATTTGTCAAAAATCATACTTTAGGATGTAAGATTTGTTTCTTTTTCTTTTTTTTTTTTTTTAAGATTTTATTTATTTGACAGAGAGAGCACAAGCAGACGGAGAGAGAGGGAGAAGCAGGTTCCCTGCTGAGCAAGGAGCCTGATGTGGGACTCGATCCCAGGACCCTGGGATCATGACCTGGGCCGAAGGCAGCTGCTTAACCGACTGAGCCACCCAGGCGTCCCAAGATTTGTTTCTGAAAAGAAACAAAAATGTTTAATTTACTTAGAAGGCTTTTTTTTTTTTTTTTTTAAAGATCCACCTATTTTAGAGAGTGAGCGAGCATGAACGGGAGGGGCAGAGGGAGAGAGAATCTCAAGCGGATTCCATGCTCAGCACGGAGCCCAAAGCAGGGCTCAATCCCACGACCCCGAGACCACAACCTGAGCTGAAACCACAAGTTGGATGCCCAACTGACTGAACCACTTAGAAGGTTTTTTTTTTTTTTTACATTCCAATTTCCTCAGTACCCTGTATTTTCAATAAGGATCAAAAGCAGTGAAAATGGTTTATTTTATTTTAAATAATGAATTATCTCTGACTTAGAATGTTACCAAATCTGTCAGGAACATAAATGAGAGTCCTACCATGTAGTGTATCAAATTCCAAGTGAATTAAAGAGCCAAACACAAAGAATAAAACCATCCAAATACTTGTAAGAGAATATTCTTATCATACTGGGATAGGGAAGTATGATGTAACACTGCAAAGCCCTCAAGAAAAAGTTTATCAACATTAGACTATGTTAATTAAGGCTTACATGGCAAAATAAAAGTTAAAAAGCAAATGTCAAACTGGAAGAAAATATCTGCAACATACATAAAACAGTTACTATCCATTATATACAAGTCCTCACCAATCAAGTAAAACAAAACTTGATTTAAAATAAAAAAGTCAAGGGACCCCTGGGTGGCTCAGTTGGGTAAGCATCTGCCTTCAGCTCAGGTCATGATCCCGGGCACCTGGGATCGAGTCCCACATCGGGCTCTCTGCTCAGCAGGAGCCTGCCTTTCCCTCTTCCTCTGCCCCTGCTACTCATTCGTGCTCTGTCTCAAATAAATCTTAAAAAAAAAAAGTCAAAGCTATGAAAAGGCAATTCACAGAATACAAAGAACTAATAAACATATGAAAAAATCTCCTACCTCTTACTGACCAGGGACACGCAACAAGATTAAAATGAGATACCATTTTTCACCCACAAGAATTACAAAATTTAAAATGAGAGTTTCAAGAGATTTGAGAGAAAGAACATTTTTATACACTGTTGGTAGAAATCTAAAATAATACATTCTGTGGGCAATGTCTATCCTAGAGATTGATCAAGAAATACCTGCATAATTACTTAAGGATGTATGTGGCAAGGTGCTCATTGCAGCCTTTTATCTAAGTACCAAACAGGGTTATGGGATTAAACTATAATCCACATGCCTGAAACAGGTACAACTCGCACACCTCTGCTCACTCCATTTCCTTCTCTTGACCTTACCTGCCAGAAGACATCTTTTTCCTCTGAATTGCCCAAACACTCTTAAAGTAATTCTGTGTTGATCTCCACAACTAGATCACAAATTCTTGATAGAAATTCTTAATCATGTTTATATTCCCTATAAAAGGTGATCTTAGAGCCTAAACCACGCTGATTCATAATTTTTACCTCCATTAAAAATAATATTTGGGGCTTTTTTTGTGACTATTAAAGTATTATATTACTCATTATAGAAATCTTAAAAAAACAGGAAATTTTTAAGAATGTAATCATTTGTAGTGCTACCATTGAAACCAATATTAGAAGTTTACTGTAGGGGCGCCTGGGTGGCTCAGTCATTAAGCGTCTGCCTTCAGCTCAGGTCCTGATCCCAGGGTCCTGGGATCGAGCCCCGCATCAGGCTCCTTGCTCAGCGGGGAGCCTGCTTCTTCCTCCCCCTCTGCCTGCCGCTCCCCCAGCTTGTGCTCTCTGTTAAATAAATAAAATCTTAAAAAAAAAGTTTACTGTAATAATTTTCCAGTTTTCATTTTTTATTTCCTTTTAAAAAACATATCTGAATCATACTAAATGTACAATTTGGGATGGTTTTCTCTTAAATCTTCTTTTACATTATTTTTAATGGCTGCAGAATATGGTGTCCGTGACATAGGTTCATATACTGTTCATCATTTTTAAAGATTTTATTTATTCATTTGAGAGAGAGAGCATGAGCAGGGGGGAGAGGCAGAGGGAGAGAGAGCAGCAGACCCCCACTGAGCAGGCAGCCTAACACAGGGACTGGATCCCAGGAACCAGAGATCATGACCTGAGCCAAAGGCAGATGCTTAACCATCTGAGCCACCCAGGCGCCCCTATATTGTTCCTCATAATTCAATGATTTAGTCCACAAATCTGAGCACCTGCTTACTGTGTCACAGTGCTAGGCCGTGGGTATACAAAAGTGAAGTCAGCCATCATCCCTGCCACCAGAGGAAGTTTAATTTCAAACACCAAGGCAACCGAAACATAACTATTTACAAGCTATAATGCGTACTATGGGGAAACAAGCAGGGGGCTAAGGGAAAGAGAGAATCTGCTTTTCTGGCTGATTAGAGACAGCCTCTCTCAGAAGGTCACATTTAAGCAAAAACAGAAAAATGAGGAACTGACCACGTAAGCAGAGATAGGAAGAACTGCTGGCAGAAAAAAACTGTGTGCAAACACAGGAAGGAGTTTTGACTCGAGGAATCAAATAATCAGCACAGTGGAAACAATAAAGGTAGGCGGAAAAGGCCAAAAACCAGGTTAAAGGTAGGATCATGGCCTTGTAGGCTGAGGTAAAAAGTGTGTCTTTTTTTTTTTTTTTTTTTTAAAGATTCTTTTTCTTTCTTTCTTTGAGAGAGAGAGCAAGGGTGAGTACAAGCCAGGGAGAGAGGGAGAAGCAGACTCCCCGTTGAGCAGGGAGCCCAATGTGGGACTGGATCTCAGGACCCTGGGATCGTGACCTGAACCAAAGGCAGACGTTTAAACAAATGAGCCACCCAGGCGCCCCAAAAAGTGTGGGTTTTACTGAAGTAACAAAAGTGGCTAAGTGGGAAGTGATACAATTCAATTTACCTTTTACCATCTCTTTTGGTACCACATGAAGGAACACAAAGAGCAAGAGTAAGAAAATCAGAACGCTGTTGCTATGGTCAAGAAAAGACACGGCGATGGCCTGAACCAGAGTGATGACATTTTCTACTATATATGTCTTCAGTTATAAATGATGCTGTAATTAGTGTCTCTACATATATAATCTTTGAATTTCTGATGATACCTCTAGAATAGACTTCTAGAAGTACAGTTACTGGAATAATGGTAAGAACGACAAGCCTTTTTACAATCCATAAAGGTTTAACACCAACAACTTATACACCAGTAGTATAGCAGCACCAACACACAAGCGAACCAGGAGGAGTCAAAAATTCATCTCTGCTAATGTGATAGCCTAGAAAAGACACTTTTGCATTTTTTATTGCCTATAAAGTGAAATCATGAAGATCCATCCACTCCCTCCTCATATTTATCAGTCATTTGTATTAACTACGAAAAACTTGGGTTTCTGGCCTTCTTGCTATATGGATTTTTAATATTTTAATCAATTTTGGGGAACTTTTTATGTAATAAGGGTATTAACACTGTCGAGTTTAAAGTGACTATCCTTCAAATATAATTTTTTTCATTTATCTTTTAAACTTATTTGGAATTCACTTTGGCATATGGTACAGATAGAACTTGTCTTTTCTTCCCCAAATAACGAACAATTTGTTCCATGCAGTTAACAAAACATCCTCTGTCCTTACCGCCCTCTGCTCTCATGTACACACTAGTCCGGGTTTATCTATTCTATCTCACTGATCTGCTGAACTCCTCTTTCATCTGAATCATACAGTTTTAGTTATTATGACTTTTAATCAGGCAACACAGCCTCCTCCTCCTCCTCCACTATCTTTTCTCTGTAAAAATGTTCTCAGCCATTTTATCTCATCTTCAGTTCCAGAGGTTATTCGCTTTGCTTTTAAACTGAATGGTGTGTTTTATCACTTATTAGAATATTTTATTTTAACTGTTAAGGTAACTAAGGACTAAAATAGAGTTTATACGCTTGTCCTCTATTATCTTGAATAATAGACAGCTAACTATGAACTCCAGTGGGGCCCAGGAAACCGTGCCTGCTATAGTCAACCAGAAAAATGTTGCTAAGAAGGCAATTTTTAAACCAAATAAATCACATAAAAATAAAAACGAAACTCAGAAATTCATCTAAAGCAAAAACAAAGCACAATTTCATTAAGGCTAAATGCATTAATTTTATTAGAGAATAAACAGTAAAAAGCTGTTTGAAAGTGTCAAATACGCATATATACCTGTCTCACTAATTGCTCTCCTTCTAGATGAGGTAGATGGTCTAGAGACCAAATCTGAAGATGAAGGTTTCTCTTCCTGCAACTCTTGCACAGGGTCCTAAGCATTCAAGGGGGGCGGGGGGGAACAAAACAAAAACTTTTAACACCAGGAAGCTAACAATAATTGGTTTAAAATAACCTAACTTTTAAGAAACATCACACTAGAATGTGTTCATTTCAAGATTACCTTTTGATCACTCCCACCTTCAAGGTGACACCTATTTTCACTCACAGATGTGCCTGAATCTGATGGTTCTGATGGGGAAAACAACAACAACAACAACAAAGAATCACAAACTAAGAAAGAAAAACTAGTTTGTCAGTCCAGGACAAACTCCTTACACAATTTAACCTTTCAACAAACATTAAATGTGTATCTCCCAGGAGCCAACCCCATGCTAGATACTGGAGATGTAAATAAGATAATTCAATTTTAATACTGAGTAGTATTACATTAACAGTAATAAAAGTATAATAAATAGGATAAAAGAAGTATTATAAGATAAATCAGTGAAGAATACAGAGCAATGATTATTTGGTAGGGACAGGGCAGGGTCTGAGGAGCAAGGAATCAGGAAAGGTTTCACATAGTAGAATATGAAGAAGCAGAACGAAGAAAGGCTATTCCAGACTGAGGGAACACCTCGTGAAAAAAGCATCCGGAAGTGAATTACAAATGCCTGTTGCAGGGAATTTTAGGTAGTCAATTATTCCTGGAATGCAAGCAGGATCATAAAGGATCCTGTGTGTCTTGCGAAACAGCACAAGGACGTCAACGAGCGGCACTCCTGCCATCAGGTCTGCATCACTGCATTCTTCCCCATCGACAGTTCAGAATCTGCCCTGTGGCACTGCTGCAGCCACTCACCATTAAAAAGGTTTAATCCAATAGATAAAACTGATTTGCTAGTTCACAGCAAGTTTATCCAGAGAACAATAAGGAACCCCTAAATGGTCATTTTAAGCAGAGGAGTGACAAATCACTTAGGCAAAATAGAAGAAAAAGAGAGCAGAGGCAAGGAGGCCAGTGCCAGACAGTAACTGCAATAATACAAATGCCGAAGTATTAAAGCCTAAACCAAGGCATGGAAGAAAGATCAATTCCAGACAAGTTAAAAAGGTAAAAACCAACAAGGCCTGGGGTCTGATATACAAGGCAAGGGAGAAAGGTGTGAAGAAGGACTCCAAGATTCTGCCTTGGATGGATAAATGGTGGTGCCATTCACCAAGAGAGAAACTTCAGAAGATAAACAGATTACTATGGAAATATAATGAACTAAGCGGATGATACTCATTCAGGTAGGTAGGTTTCGTTTGTAGTTGGATGTATAGACCTGGAGCTCAGAGTCAAAATTTTAGATAGAGAGTATACACAGTTGCCAAAAATCATAATCAAATACGCTTTGTTACTCCCTTGGAAACATTTTCATCTTAATAGGAATGTCAGGCCCACACATTAACATTCTGAATTTATGCACATTATCATAATAGTTTATTTCTTTACACTATGGGTTATGTATTATACTGATATATATACTCTACATTGTACATAAAGAGAGGTTATATTTTGTTTTAATGTAATAGAAGAGATGTTACAATACAGATGTAATAAAAAGGAAGTACCAGGTGTGACAGGTTGAGAACACAGTTACAGGAGGAAGTTAATTCTACTAAACTGAAATCTGAAACAAACCCAGAATGGAAATAACCTAAGTAATCTACAGGTTACCATCTCATTAATAAAATTTTTCTAGTAATCTACCAAGGTTTCTTTACATGAATGAATGAACACATCAGGGATAATATTTAAGAAAACTGAAAATACTACTATAATACTACAGTAGTTTGTTTTATTTGCCTTCATTTGATTTCATAAAGAGCTTTGTAAAACAATAAAACATGTCACCAGTCTAACAGTCATTTTTACTCTAGGATAAGACAGTGATGCCCTTTTCTGGGTCTTAAGTCCTAACTGTGGAAGACCATTCAACTCAACACATTTATTAAACATCATATTGATAAAACACTGTAGTACTGCTGATGCATAATGCAAACCTGATTAGGATACAAGAAACAGAAATGCAAACAACTGTAACAAAACAACATAACAATAAAGTCTAAATACAGAATAGTGGAAGCACAAAAGAGTGGCCAGTTCCCTGTAGGAAGTAAACAAGCTTCTGAGAACAGTTTTTAATTGTAGTTCAAGGATGGGCTTTAAGACATCTATGGTGTGCTGGGAACCAGCTCCTACTGGTACTCAAAGCGGACTGTATACCTTTCTTACCAACTCCATGTATGTAGCCTGAAAATGGCCATGGTGGGAGTTATTCACACCATGGAACTCAGGGAACACCACAAATCAGGGCTTTTCCCCCTGAAAAGTGGGCTGTTAAACATTTACCAGCATACCACTGTATGTTTTATGTGTATCTCTCTGAAATAAGAACCCAATGCTTTCATCAGATTATCCAAGGAGTATGTAACCCAAAAATAACCAGTTAAGAACTGCAAGTCTACAAGTAGGGAAATTAAATGCCACTTACCTGAATAAATTGATAGTTTTGTCTATTATAAAAAACAACAAAAAAGGGCTCATCCAAATGGTCCTACTTAGGTATCTATATTACTTCCCAAAGCCTTTCAATACATGTTTCAAGGTTTGATTATATCTCGAGTAAGCATGCCTTGAAATTATCTACCTTTCAGAAACAACAAATGTTGGCAAGAATGTGGAGAAAAAGGAACCCTCAAGCACTGTTGGAGGGAATGCAAACTGGTGCAGTCACTGGGGAAAACAGCATAGAGGTTTCTCAAAAATTAAAAATAGAATCACCATATGATCCAGTAATTAATTCCACTAAAGAGTATTTACCCAAAGAATACAAAAACACCAATTCGAAAAGATATATGCAGCATTATTTACAACAGCCAAATTACGGAAGCAGCCCAAGTGTCCATCAATAAATAAATGGACAAAGAAGATGTGAGATACACACACACACACACACAGGAATTAGTATTCAGCCATAAAAAAGGATGAAATCCTGCCATTTGCAACACTATGGATGGACCTAGAGAACATAACGTTAAGTGAAGTTAGTCAGAGAAAGACAAATACCGTATGATTCCACTCATATGTGGAATTGAAGAAACAAAACCAGAAAAGAGAGACAAACCAAAAACCAGATTCTTAACTATCGAGAACAAATGATGGTTACCAGAGGGTAGGTGGGCAGGGGAATGGGTTAAACAGGTGATGGGGATTAAGGCGTGCACTTGTCATGATGAGCACCAGCTAATGTATGTAATTGTTGAATCACCACATTGTAAAGCTGAAACTAATACAACACAGTATATTAACTATACTGGAATTAAAATGAAAATATAAATTTTAAAAATAAAGTGTTTAATAAATGCTTGTGAAACCACCCCCCCAAAAAAACCCAGAAATTATCTTTCAAAACAAATTCTAATACTGATATCCCAAGGCTTAAATTGATGGAATAAGGTATTTAACTTTACATATCGGAAACAGACATTAGACCCTTAGTATTATTATTTTAGTTCATGTAGTTCATTTCTTCCTGTTAAATGACTCCACATATACAAAATGTGTTTAAAATATTTTTATGGTTTTGTTTATCGTATTCAAAATTAACTTACCATGCTGATTGACTACTACCAAGTTTTTGTAGATCATTGTATATATTTTCCTTGTAGGGAGGAAAAAAAAAAAGATGTACATTTTAAAATAAAAATATATTAAACTGGACTTAACCAGACTTTTAAATACATATTAGCATGAACTATATTGTACACAAGCTAAATTTTAAATCACTGTATTCAAACTATATCACTGGCAAGTTTCTAGGTCCTAAAAAGTAGCATGATAATTAGTTGTACAATGATTACACACAGTTACTCTTACTAATCACAAAGGTCTCTCTAGCTGAAAAGACTTCATATCTCCATTTCCTGAAATGTGCCTTGTTTGGACTTTACCAAAAGACCCAAGGGTGTGAATGCAGAAAGCAGGTTGATATATGTATTTTCAAACAGAAAAGAAAATTTTTAGCTCTGTGCTTAAAGCTTAGAAGTAGACTGCCTAAAAAGGCAGTGCATTATGCAAAACCCACTATAGAAGAACTTGATTTTGACTTCTATTAACCATGAACCAATCACCTAATGGATTTTTTAAATTTTTTTTTAAAGATTGTATTTATTTATTTGACAGAGAGACAGCTAGAGAGGGAACCCAAGCAGGGGTAATGGGAAAGGGAGAAGCAGGCTCCCTGCCGAGCAGGGAGCCCAACGTGGGGCTCGATCCCAGGACTCTGGGACCATGACCCAGGCCGAAGGCAGACGCTTAACAAACAGCCACCCAGATGCCCGTGGATTTTCTTTCTTGATCTTAAAATCTATTAAAAGATGAAGCTTCCTTCAGTCATTTAATAAATACAGACTGAAAACCCACTATGAACCACTGTTCTAGAAACTGGGAAAAAAAAAAAGGAATAAAATGGAAACAAATCTCTGCCCTCATGGAGCTTACATCCCAATAGGAAGACAATTCACTTACTTTAGTCTTCACTGATGTTATGGTACACTTTTCTTTTAACTAATGATTTTAGGCAATGTTATGGTCACAGGGTATCATTTTTAATTCTCATGATTAAGGGGAAGTGCCAATCCCAAATATTTCTTTTCACCTTTGGGACTAATGATACAGCTCCATAAACTCATAAATATCAATATTCCTATTCCTGTTCTTTTCCAAGTCAGTAATTTCCCCAGTGTTTAACCTCTCAACATATTAGAATTCAAGTCAAAGATAACTTTTAAATTACACTTTCAATATGAGAAACTATACAATACCTCAGAACATTAACAGAAAATTCAACACTCAAAGGGTACAAAATCACCAATACTGTTAACTTTTTTTTAAAGATTTTATTTATTTATTTGAGAGAGAGAGAATGAGAGACAGAGAGCACGAGAGGGAAGAGGGTCAGAAAGAGAAGCAGACTCCCCGCCAAGCAGGGAGCCCGATGTGGGACTCGATCCCGGGACTCCAGGATCATGGCCTGAGTCGAAGGCAGTCGCTTAACAAACTGAGCCACCCAGGCGCCCCTGTTAATTCTTAAACTTATAAAAATAAAGCTTATATCTCAAGGCCAAGTATAAAATAGTAACATAAATTTATTAGATAAATGTGATTTCTTAATGGAAAGATGTTTATATAGTGTTAAATTAAGAAGCGTGACAAAATTAAATATGGTATGTTCACAACACATCTGCACATAATATAAAAACAACAGGTAAAAATACCATTCAAAGGACACCTGGGTGGCTGAGTCAGTTAAGTGTCTGCCTTCAGCTCAGGTCATGATCCCAGGGTCCTGAGATGGAGTCCTACATCAGGCTCCCTGCTCAGTGGGGAGCCTGCTGCTTCTTCCGCTCCCTCTGCCCCTCCCCTCTGCTCATGCTCTCTCTCAAAATAAATAAATATTTTTAAAAATTACCATTCAATGACAAACTATAGTCTTTTTTTTCTATTCTTAGCTTTCTGTCTTTTCCTACTGCCCAATAATATAAATTATGCTTATATAATAAAATTGTTTTAAAGTTGTAAATATTCCACTTAATTACTATCTTTTTAGCTATAGTATTACTGAACATTAAATACTAGAATCTAAGTTAATTTTTTCAGGTGAAAGGTATTCATTCCACTTATGAAGATACACAAGCATGCTAAGCTCCACACAGACTGTGCCAAACCAAATGGGAAAAGGAATTCCAAATGTAAGGAAAGAAAGACTGAAAAAAATCTTCGGTTTCCAGTAGAGTAATTCTAGAAATGTTATCTGGGTTAAATTCAGCTGATTAAGTGCTGTAATGGTATATGACAAAATAATCTCCAAAGTAAGGCTCAAACTTAAGCCTTTACCACAGTGTGATCTAAAGATTGTCTTTGAAAGTAACTGCAATAATTTTTTTTTATATACAGTAACTGTGACAAACATTTATTTATTTATTTATTAAAGATTTTATTTATTTATTTGAGAGAGAGAATGAGATAGAGAGCATGAGAGGGGGGAGGGTCAGAGAGAGAGGCAGATTCCCCGCTGAGCAGGGAGCCCATGGGACTCAATCCCGGGACTCCAGGATCATGACCCGAGCCGAAGGTGGTTGCTTAACCAACTGAGCCACCCAGGCGACCAACATTTATTTATTTTTAAAGATTTTATTTTACTTGTCAGAGAGAGAGCGAGCGAGCGCGCGTGCACACACAAGCAGGGGGAGCGGCAGGCAGAGGGAGAAGCAGGCTCCCCACTGAGCAAGGAGCCCGATGCGGGACTCGATCCCAGGACCCAGGGACCATGACCCGAGCCGAAGGCAGATGCTTAACTGTGAGCCACCCAGGCGTCCCAATTTTTTTTTTTTTTTAAAGATTTTATTTATTTATTTGAGAGAGACAATGAGATAGAGAGAGCATGAGAGGGGGGAGGGTCAGAGGGAGAAGCAGACCCCCTGCCGAGCAGGGAGCCCGATGCGGGACTCGATCCAGGGACTCCAGGATCATGACCTGAGCCGAAGGCAGTCGCTTAACCAACTGAGCCACCCAGGCGCCCTTTTTTTTTTTTTAAGATTTTATTCATTTATATGAGAGAGTGTGTGCACAAGCAGGGAGAGGGAGAAGCAGGGAGCCCGACTCAGGGCTCCATCCCAGGACCCTGAGATCATGACCTGAGCCAAAGTGAGATACTTAACCAACTGAGCCACCCAGGTGCCCCGGTGACTAACATTTAAATGATTTCTATGTGTCAAACACTGCTTCTTACACACTGTCTCTTCATAACCTCCACATGAGGTATTTATATTATCCCTACAAGTAGGGTAAACTGAGGCTTAGAGAGGATAAATCAATTTACCTAGTCACACAGCCAGTAAATGACTGAGCTAGGTCTCAAACCCGGGTTTTTAAGATTCCAGAACTCAGGTTCTCAAGCAATATGCTATTATTACTAAGAAATTAAATTTCTGCAGCTTTTATATATACAGGAACAATTTTTCTCTGACAAAAGGCAGTGAAGATGCAGGTAAACTGAAACGTTTGTCCCGCCGGCTTTTTACAATGGAGCTGAAGTATTTACCTGTGCTCTTTCACAGAGAAGCTTGGCACTCCAAATAGATCCCCTAGAAGATCATTGGAACAATACACAATATGCTGTTGCTTCTCATCGTATAATCGTTTAGTCATAATATACTGGCCAAGATAAAATATAACCTGAAATAGAAATAGGATTTCTGAGCATTAAAGAAAATTAAATGTTAGTTTCAAATACATTCAATACCTCATTTACCTAAAGATGGTTAAACAACCTGCAACCAAACCCATAACTGTCTAGAATAACAACCATTCTGTACTCTAAAAGCTTTTAAATCTTTTCCTTTTAATTTGATGGGAGTAGACACTGCTTTTCCAATTTACTTAAATGAGTGTGTGTACCTAACAGACTTTAACTCTGCCCAGATATCTAGGTACTACAAACTAGGAAGAAGAGAAAAGGCAGCAAAATGCAAAACCATTGAGAGCAAGAAAAAGTTGCAACTAAAATACAGCAATGACCTGGAGTCATTTAGTAAATAGTAAATAGTCCCAAACACCATACATCTCAACAGCCTATGAGGTAATCATGGATGAGGACCACAGGAAAGTAACCAATTACATCTACACAACAGTTTGGAAGAATTCAGTGAATAAAATAAACTCTTGAAGATATCAATATAATCTATGCAACAATAATCAAAATAGTGACCCTGAACCATGCATATACAGTTACTGTATGCGCCATTAAGACAAAGAAGTGATACACCTTAAGATATCCACATACAAACCTATTAACCACCTAAATATGTATGAATTTTTTTACAGTTTAAATGTACTCTTACAAGTACTGCCTCATTCTCTGATATTTCATAGAATTGTTTTCACTGTATTAAAGATAAGGAAATGGGACCTGGTCTTCTGACTCCCAGTCCAGTGTTTTTTCTACCACCCCATACTAGCTGTCATCACTCTCCCATATGCCCCAGAACAAAGATCCTGCAACTGAAAACTCAATCAGACAATAAGTATATATATATTACCGTTACATGGTTTAGCATAAGCATTCTATACCTTTATAATGGCCTGATCAATTTTCTCCTTATTTCTACTACTAAATGCATACCTTTTTGTTTTCTTAACCAATTACGCGATGATAATGAGGTCAAACCCAAATTAAGAGCCCTAAATACATCCTTAACCTCGGAAACATCCTTAATCTCGATGTCCCCCCTGCAAGCTCCCCTACTGTCTGTAGACTTAAGTGGTTAAGAAGGCCTCAGACTTAAAGGAATATTCCCTGGTGATTATGAATTGAAGATAAGTTGACAGACAGTGGGAAAAGAAGAAGAGAACCTACACTCCTACCAAACATCCCATAATGAAGTTTATAAAAGTGTGGCTGAAAAGGAAAATGGTGTAGAGTCTCTTCCTGACCCACTAACCTGATGTAGATAAGTTACTTCAGTGTTTTAAACAATCTGGGCCCCATAAACTAAGTGGGAGAGATGGGGAAAAGGCACATTTCATTCACAATGAAATTTTGCCTAAGATGGCCCAATCTCTCACTGAAAATCATGCTTCTGTGCACAAATTTAAAGTTAGAGAACATTACATTGAAATGTATCCATTAAATAGAACATATGTTCATGAATCAGCTCACCTCTATCCCAGAAAGATCAGTATACTGTACTCATGTATCTCTAGTGCAGAAGTTCTTAACCTGGGATCCATGGATGCCCAAGAAGTCCTTGGATAGAATTCAGGGGGTCCATTAATTTGGATGGGAAAAAAAAATTTTTCTATATTTTCACTAACTTTTAACTGAAATTTAGCTTTTCCTTCAATTATGAATATAGGCAACAAACCACAAAGTATTAGTAATACCTGTGATTTATGTCACCAATAAAAATCACAAGTGTTTTCTTATCATACTATGCTTGGTGTAAACATCTCAAAATACTAACTGTACTCCTCACTACTTTGAAATTACATTTATTAGATCTGCTGCTACATCTTATTATTTAATGTGTTAATAAAAAACACTCAAAAAAGCACATATATCACAAACATGTTTAGTATTTTGAAAACTATCTTACATAATTTGTTTCCTTTGTAATCCTATACATTTTGGTTCATGCATTTAGAAACAGGATTCTGAGAAGACTTTACCAGTCTGCCAAGTGGGTCCACAGCACAAAAATGCTAAGAACCCCTACAGAGCCTCCCTCTGTCTCAGAGTTCCTAGCTGAGAAATGATATTCAAGTATAATTAGAATTTCAGCTTCAAATTATAGTCCAAATGACCACAACACTTAATATTGCTGCTTACTGAAAAATCCCTCTATATGGCCAATTTCTCCCCATGGCTACATGTAACTAGCAAGACATTAGTTATCTTGTTAACTCTTAATTTAGCTTACCTCTTTCATAGTATAAGTGTCTTTTTGTGCACCGACAGACTTTAACAACTTCAAAAGCAAAGGCTTTGGTCTAACCTACAAAGAACAAAAAGCTGCTATTATACTTCCAAAATTATTCCACAACTATAAGCCTCACAGCAAGATGTCCATGAAGAATTTCAATAAAGGTAGCAGACGTTATATTTGACAATCTCACAAGGTTAGAACTAAAAAACTAAGTCACAATGTTTTCACTAAATGTAACAGACTATAGAAACTGAATATCACTGTCAAGGTAATTTGGAAAAAAAATGCTGAGATTTTATTACTGTGCAAATAATCACAGAATCCTCAAGTATCATCAGTTGCAATCAAACACAGTATCCATGCCAAGGCAGTGAAAATTTTTCTTTTTCCTCCAGCTATTTCTATTATCTGCTTACTACCTTACAAACTTAACTATAAATGGAATACTCCAATGAGATTACCATAAACTAAATTGCAAAATCCAAGAGAGAAGAGTAAGTCTTTAGCTCTGTTTCCCAATCTTTTCTTTCCACATGTTAGGCTCCCGAAGGCTGGAGGACTTAAATAACAAGGATAATTAAGAGCAGATCTGAGAAAGCAACTCACAACCCTCAACTACAAACCATCATTTTCTTTCCTACTATATCATGTTACCTCTTAGTGGGTCTACATTTCAAATATCTACTGACAAACACTTATTGAGCTTCTACCATGCACCAGACAGTGCTAGGTGTGGGTGGCTGGGTGGGGGGAATGATAAATAAAACATGAGCTCTATTCAAGGAACCCACCAACTAGAGCAAGGGTCAATTTTTTCTATGAAGAGCCAGATAGTAAGTATTTTAAGCTTTTCCTGCCAGCTGGTCTGACTCAGAAGTACAGATATGTAAACCAAAGGCCATGGCTACATTTCAATAAAACTTTACAAAAATAGGAGGCCAAATATGGCCCACAGGCTACAGTGTGCCTGACCCTGATCTAGAGGTTTTCCAAGCGGTACTGAGAAAATAACTGGCAAAGAGGCAGGGATATGATATACTTTCTCCCTAACTGTTGCTGTATCAAAATCTTTAAAACTTAAGTGTCTTTAGAGCTTGCCACCTCCACACAGACTGGTGCCTCTGTGACTCTCTTCAATATACTCCTGTCCTTTGCCTAACTTTGAAATCTAATAGCATCTCAGTTTGGAATCTAACTGTCAAAACTAGATTTAAGAAAATTGCCTCTTTCCAGCTAATCAACAGAATATTCTTTAATAACCAAAAAACTGGGCGCCTGGGTAGCTCAGTTGGTTAAGCGTCTGCCTTCGTCGGCTCAGGTCATGATCCCAGGGTCCTGGGATCAAGTCCCACATCAGGCTCCCTGTTCAGTGGGGAGTCTGCTTCTCCCTCTCCCTCTGCACCCTCCCCCTGCTCGTGCTCTTTCTCTCTCTCAGTAAATAAAATCTTTTAAAACAATAATAATAATAAACAAAAAACTTAAAATACACAAGTGTGGTACTGAATCATTCATTAATTGTTCTGATTACACTTTTTTGTGTGTGTGCTTACATATACACTTTACTTTCAGGCTAAAGAATGAACTCTCTCTTGAAAGATAAAAAATTAAAATTTTAGGAGGAAAAAAAATATGTATATTAACTTCAAACTACATAGAACAACTCAAAATAAAAATCTGCAATGGAAAGTCATCAGTTTTTTATTAAGACCTAAACGACATGCAATAAGAAAACTATAAAAGACAATACCATTCTTAATCTTACATTTAATAACAAAAAGATAAATTCCAAAGATCTAGATGTGAAAATTAAAAACACTACCAGAATATATAGGACTGTATCTGTATAATCTTGGGATGGGAGAGTTCTTCAAAGCATGATATGAAATGCAAAAACCAACAAGTCAATAAATTTGACTTCATAACAACATTCTCAATAGGAAAAAGACAACAAAACTAAATGCAACCTTTGTCAATGATAAAAGTTACATAAATTTGAAACCAGAGAACTACTACAAATTATTAAGAAAAACGCAATAAACCTAAAGGAAAAGTGGAGAGATAAGACCAAGCAAATCCCAGAAGAAATAAATGATTTAACAAATGACAAGATGCCCAACCTCAAGAGAGATCAGGGAAATACAAATTTAAACAATGATACAGACCCTTCTACCAAAAAAATAGCAAAATGATAATAAAAAGTGATAATACGCAGTGTTGGCAGAGATGAAAACTGCCACAATCTTGTTAGCAAGTTATGAATAGCAATCAAATATATGTATAGTTTAGGACCCAGGAGTTCTGTATACAAAATCTTATAGAAGGAGTCACATAACACAGGATACAAGTACAAAGCAGCACTATTTATAATAATCAAAAACTAAAGGCAATTTAAAAAAAACCTATCCAAAAAAACCTATAGCAGAGGCATAAATTTCTAAAAAGGTACACTAATGCTTTGGTACACTATGGAGCCATTAAACAGAATTCTATAGATTTATTGACATGGATGGAATTTGCACACCTGTCTTAGCAGAACAAAACAAGACAATAACAGATTAAAATTTGCACATATATATGTGGGTACACACATAGGAAAAATCTAAAAGGAGACATGATCAAAAGAGAAGACTAGAATTTTCAGCTTCCACCTTTTACATTTCTGTAATGCCTAAAATCTTTACAAGCATGAATTACTTTTGTGACTTTTAGAAACCATCTAAAAAGTTAAATACTGACAAGTCAAAATAGAAAAAAAATCGGTCAATAACAAACATAACTTCAGCATCCATGCTTAAGAATGTTAATGGAACTTAATATTAAATCCAGGGTGATAAAAGACTAAGAAAATAAATACCGATTCTTACAGTCAGCTTTTACATTTATGCCTGGCATAAATGGCAGAATTTAAGCTGTGTACATACAATTTCACTTAGAGAACCGTGCTATAAATGGGGTCTATGGAATTTAGATCACCTCATAAAATATTCTTAAAAGTTACGCTTGAGACAAAAATACCAACCAGGGTCTCTTGTTCCGAAGCTGGAATCTGTGAGGTGCTTACAGCACCATCAGTAGACACAGACATGTTGGTATTGCACATTTGCCTACGAGTGGGAAAAAGAAACACACAAGATAAAAACTTGAAATAATGAAACATCTGTGAAAAAAACCAGTCATATGGAAAGGATATAAATAATGCCCTTAAATACTGTCTTTATTAAAACTAAAGCCAGTAGCAAGCGGGTCCTTACCTGGATCGGTGCAGAATAAGTGCTCTACGTCGCTGACCACAGGTATCTATCTCTAATCGCCAATGAATACAGCTGGGAAAAAGCATGGTTTAAATAGCCCCAGCTGGAGACAAGTCAGGACTTAGCTCCTTTTACTGCCTCCTAGGAACTTGTCCGAACTTGACCAGCCCAAAGGGAAAAGCTGAGTCAACTTGCCCACAGAACCAGCCCAAACTCGCCCAGACACGGCGCCGGGTTCACGCAGGCTACAGAACAGGCACCTGTCATTATCCGGACCCCAAGCCGGGAGACTGCGGACCACAGCGCAGCACACGCCCCCCGCCCACGTGACCTTTACCCCGACCACCCGCGGAGCCCCCTGGCCTCTGCCCGCCGGGCTCCCGGGCCCGAAACCCCGCCCTCCTCCCCAGCGGCCACAACCTCGCGTCCTACCAACAAAAACCTCCACAGACCCACGTGCCCCGCGCCCCCCCCCCCCACCAAATGCACAAAGGCTGCGGGCGGGGAAGAGGCTGCAAACGACAGCGAGCTGGGAGACCCAAGTCACAAAATAAACGCAGAACTGCCCACGCGCTTCCCGGCCGGTACCTGCTCTTCACCAAGCGGGGTTGTCCGCGCCTGGAGGTGGGGGGAGCGGAGACCCTCGAGGCCCCCCAGTTCCCTTCACTGGGCGCGCAGAAGCCCGACGCCCTGGGCCTCGGCGACCATTCTACTCGCAGGGCCCAGGCTACTGGGGCGCTCGAACGCACCAGGTCGAGAGAAGAAGGAAGCTCCGGGCGGCGAAAGCGGCAGGACCTCGGCCAGAGGGGTCAGGACTGCCTCTGGGGCTCGGGCTCTTGCTCCATTTTCCTTCCAGCCACACAGGGCCGCAAAGGCCCCAAAGGGAGCCGAGCCAGCCGAGGGGCGCCCAATGCGCGCCCCCTGCCGCCCGAGGGGAGCGCGCCGGAAGCCGCGGCTCCTCCGGGCGGATACGCGCGCGCGCGCGCGCCCGAGCCCCGCCACGTCCGCCAATGGGGGGAGAGGGCTGGGTCGGCCGCCTCCGCGAAGGGGGAGGCCGGGGAGCGCGGCGTGCGCAACCTGGGCGTGCAGCCTCCGCAGGGCGGGAGGGGGTGCGGGGCGCTCGCGCGGTCGGCCGGCCTGGGCCGCCAGTGCCCCCGGGGTGGGGCTCGGCTCGGGCCGCCGCGCCTCGTTTCGCGCGCGGCCCTGGGGACTTCTTTATCCGTTGTGCTATTTCTGTGGGCCCTGTGTTTACAACTCCCGCCCGCGGGGGAGACTGCAGGCACCAGGCGTATCTAAGTGCAGCTACCAAAAATGAAACCAAAATTAACAGCTGTGCGATATATTAAGGCCACACTGCCGGCTACTGGAGTTGTATACAAATGAGTTATTTCAAGACTTGTTTAAAAAAAAAGTATGATTAAAACTACTATAATCTAGACTTGTACACGATGCATACAAATGTTCTAGTTGGAGAAACAGAAGACTTGTGGGTACCGTGATGGGGGGTGGCGGGGGCGATAAAGAACAGTTTTCACTTTATGCTTTTAGAATGTTTGGGTTTGTTTATATAACATTCATTCTCATTAAGAATATACATTTATATATTAGGAACTCTACTGGAAGACTCACCTTGCCCCTTGTGGCACATAGGCGTGGCAATTTAAAAAATGAGTAAGGACGTAAGAATTGAGGTGGCTCAACACAAAAGCACAGAAAGCAAGTAGTTCCTTTTTTATAGGAACTTTCTTTTTTTTATATAAAGTTATAACTTTCCCCTCTCCCATTCCCTAGCCTATAAAAAGGAATCTTTCTTAAACATACTGGTCACTCAATTGATTTAATTGTTAACATTATTATCTTCAGGGATTTAGTTTGGCTTTTAAAAAAATCTCATCTTTATAATATCAAATATAGTAAGGTTTCTGGTTGTGAAACTGTGTGCTTGACACGGGATAAAAGAAAACTTCAAGAGATGGAGAAAATACAAGAGAAGACAGAAATGAGGGAAGAAGTGATAGGATTTAAGGTGCTGGGGAGAGAGGTGGATGAGGCAAGGATTCTATCTTTCAAGAAATTGGTATTAAAAACTTACCATGTGTAACAAGCACTACCCAAGGCCACAGGTAGTGAACAAGATAGTCATACTCCCTGCTGTCATAGAATCTACCAGGCTGACTCTGAATTTCCACCCAAAGTGAATGAGATACCACTGACAAAAAGTCTGGAGGAAATGAAAAGTTGCCTGGTTGTTTTGAATGATGCATCACAGAACAAAGAGTTCAGTGGTAGAAAATGTGGAACTGAAGCTCAGGCTAAAGACAGAGCTTCTGAGGGGGCTGATTGGCTCAACATGTAAGAACTGATGAATTCCTCAAAGGAGAGAAGAGACTGGACTGGGATAAGGCAGCAGGGGTAGAAACAGCAAAGAATGAGAGGAATGATCAGAAAGCCACCCAACACAGGCCATATAATGGTGTCCCAAAGATGGTGTCCCAGAAATGGTGAGTCAAGTAATGATACTGAATACTGCAGGAGTCAAAGAAAATGAGGGATGAGAAATCACACTGAATCTTCTCACTCGAAAATCTGTTCCTATTGTTTGTGACTTTACCATTAAGAAAAAAATGCAGGGGCGCCTGGGTGGCTCAGTTGGTTGAGCAACCTACTCTTGGTTTTGGCTCCAGACATGATCTTGGGTGAGGCAATGGAGCCCCGAGTTGGGCTCTGTGCTCAGGGGGGAGTCTGCTTGAGATTTTCTCCTTCTCCCTCTGTCCCTCCCCCTGCTCACGTGCGCACTCTCTCTCTCTCTCTCTCAAATAAATAAATATTTTAAAAAAAATTCACACCAGCTGCTGCTGTTTCCCTGCATTTCACTATTATCCTATGTCATTCTGCCCTTATATTTACTCCAGGCTTTTCAGGAAGCAGACTTCTGCTTAATTTTTAGTAGCATTGCTCTTGATACTCTCCTTTGTTCCAAGAGATGGAGACACCTTGAGCATCTTAATATTCTTTGGAACCTAAACTCTGCAAAGACATTCACAATAGACTTTGGTCCTGGTCCCAGGACCACTTCATACTTGCATTTATTAACGATAAAAAAAAAAAAGAATGAGGAAAAATAAACAAGATTTATCTCAGAAACAGTGTATAGAATGTTTAGAATGCTGAAATTGTCACAATATTTACTTGGCGGTCTAAAATTACAGAAGTAGGGGGCACCTGAGTGGCTCAGTCATTAAGCGTCTGCCTTCGGCTCAGGTCATGATCCCAGGGTCCTGGGATCCAGCCCCACATCGGGCTCCCTGCTCGGTGGGAAGCCTGCTTCTCCCTCTCCCACTCCGCCTGCCTGTGTTCCCTCTCTCGCTGTCTCGCTGTCAAATAAAGAAATAAAATCTTAAAAAAAATAAATAAAATTACAGAAGTAGTTCAAATTCCGATTACCTTTCCAAACGTCTGGAGATAGTGTTAGTTAAAAAGCAAAATCCCACTAAATGGTTAATATAAACACAGGCATTTTGTTTCTATTTCGAGAAGTAATCAACTTTTTGTTTAAACTTGTCAGTTTAAAGTATGCAGAAACATCCACAGAATAATTAATATCTAATGTAACCACTGCCTAGAATTCACATTTGTCATTTCTACTTCAGGTATATTTAAAAAAATGGAATATTAAAAAAAAGTTGAAATTCCCCAATTTTTGTTCTTAATCTCATTCCCCTTCCTCTGTGAGGCAGTTATAACTATCAGTTTGGTGTACACCCATTGAGTCCATGTTTTTTATAACTCTGACTATAAATTTATGAATCTGTACATAGTAAATACAGTAGGCTGCAAACATACAAAAGGAATTACTGGGCCAGGGGGTAGTAAGCCTTATGCTGAGTTTCAAAGTCTAACAAGAAAAGCTGTCTTATCTTTTTTCAGTATTGTTTTGGCTGTTCTAGGATGTCACTTTTAGAATTAGTTTGTCTAAATCATAAAAAAGAATCCTATTGGAATTTTGATTCAAATTGCATTGGATCAATAGATTAGTTTGATGTCTTTTCAGTCTGGGTTCTTCATTGTCCTAAAGAACATGACACTTTTTTTCAGGTCTCTCTTCACATCCTTTAATAATGTTTTATCATTTTCTCTTTAGGACAATGATTTTTGTATTTTGATCTTATAGCCATTAAAACTGCTGTATTTTGTTTTATAAATACTGCTAGTTTTTCAGTAGATGCTCTTGAATTTTTTATGACAACAGTAATATCATCTGTAAAAATCATCAATCTGTCTCCTCTTTTCTTGTAACTTCTTTTCTTATAACCATTAGAGCAATTATTATTTTATGGAACAGTAGCAAAGATAGTGAACATCCTTGTCTTATTCCTGACTTTAATAAAAATGCTTTTAAAGTTTGATGTTTGATGTAAGTTTTAGGTAGGTGCCCTTTACTACATTATAAAAGTTTCCTTCTATTCATGTTTTGGAATTTTTAAAAATATGAATGAGTGGGAATGCCTGGGTGGCTCAGTCAGTTAAGCGTCTGCCTTCTGCTCAGGTCATGATCCCAGGGTCCTGGGAATGAGCCCCACATCAGGCTCCGTACTCAGTGGGGAGCCTGCTTCTCCCTCCGCCTGCTGCTCCCCCTGCTTGTGTGTTCTCTCTCTCTCTGACAAATAAATAAAATATTTTTTAAAAATGTCTTCTTTAAAAAAATACGAATAAGGGTTCAGTTTTATCTAATACCTCTTTATGTATCTGGAGATGATCATGTGGCTTTTCTCCTTAATCTGTTAATATGTTAAGACTGTAGTGATAGATTTTCTAATACTGAACCATCCTTGTATTTACTCAGATAGACTCTACTTAGTTATAATGGGTCTTTTTTTTTTTTAAGATACTGATGAACTCAATTTGCAACAGGAATAGTGTAACAGGATGATATGGAGCGTAACTGATAGCTTATCCTGTCCTTAGAGGTTACCAAATATCTCAGGGATTTAAGTGGAGATATTGTCCTATTGAGAACAGTTACTCAATTCTCCAAGGCTAAGTTCAGATATGGTCCCGTTCTTGACCTGGGATTCTGGTTCCCACAGCTCAATACAGGCTCAACTGGTTTGATGACTTTTAGCATTGACAGTTTTAAGGGAGGACCAGGAGCAAAAGAGGTTACCGTCTGGAGGAATGAAGAATTTATAACCTCACCTACCTGCCCCCTAATTATATCTGAGACTTGTGACTACATCTTGTCTGAACGTTGCTGAGCCACTCAACTGGCAGAAGATACATAATGAGGTTGTGTAGTACCCCCTGCTTTGGTGTGGAAGGGTTTCTGGAGTTTCTCACAGGTCAGTGGTCCCTGAAAAAGATGGCAGGGGTATAAGGAGTTTTGCTGGGAGCCCCCAAGATGGCCACTGCCATGGTAAGAGAACCCTGGCAGCACCAGACACTATAGGATGTCCATTGGTGGAATGTGCTGAGTTGGGGCAAAAAAAGTTGAGCTTCATTCGATCCTCCCTGTCCAACTTCCTGCCAGGACTGGGCCATAAGACCCTTGGGAGAACTAGCTTTTGGATACCTGCCACCTGGAGGGAACTGATACCCAATTTGCATTAAACAGAGAGGCCAAGACAACCAACAGAAAGGGGACAGAAATTCTCCCTCGTCTAGCTGGTATTTTTCATATAAAGAAAACATGAATATGTCCAACTAATAAAAGTGCAACAAATTTTAAGGGCAATCATATAGGGAAAGATCATTTTCCCCCTCCTCCTCTTTACCCCCATCAATGCCAAAGGAGTAAGGTAGTGGTTTTCTATTGCGTAATTTGTGTAATGAATTACCACAAATGTAGGGGCTTAAAGCAATACAAATATATGGGCTCATAGTTCTATGTGTCATAAGTCCTAGTAAGCTCGACTAGGTTTCTCTGCTCCAGTTCTCACAAGGTCAAAATGAAGATTGGC